TGCCACACTACCAATAGACGGGTCGGGGGTCAAATGTGACGCCGCCGACGGGATGACGTGTGTGCATTGTTGTACCCGGTCAACCCTTTGCGAATTGATGAAATCGAAAAGGCAAGTATGCTATAAACAGGCCTACTTTTTACTTGAATGAAGCAACGGAATTGGCACAGATACGCGACGCCAGCCGGTGTCAGGGGCTAAAAAAGAATTGGCCAATGAGAGCGCGTAAATAAATGGGGTCGGCACGCGAAACCACCACAAAATAGGTAAACAACATCACGGACTGAGGGGTTTGTGAGCTTCAAGAGCCAACTTGTCGATTAGAAAGACGTCTCATGGGGAAAAGCTAGCCAATTGCAAGCCAGCAGAAACGCAGAATCTAGTCGTCTTCACTCCTCCAGAATACGCGGTCTTTTATTCCGAAAACCTGTTGATAGATGAATGCGCCTAATCTTTCTTCTATCCTTGACAGAGGTACCGTAGTTGACGCGTCAACCAAAGCGGTTGTAAAAACGTCTATAATAGTACCCATTAAAGGGCTAATGTAATCAAGCCTCCAGCTACCTAGCAAGTACCCGGTATCCCAGCCAGAGCGCTGGGATTAAGCCACATCTAAAGAAAGGGGGAACCATTTTGGAAGCTTCTTTATCATATACGTGCAACTCTAATGCATGAGAAGTCTATAAATAGAATTCATTTGTCTAATCTTTCGAGTATTTACTGCCATCCTCATCGGTAATATGGTCAACAGCTTTCCAAGCACCCTCCTAGCCCACAACCTGATTTATTCAAGTGGTTCCATCTCTGAACCACCATCGCATACAGCGTTGCCAACCATACCGTCTTGCGAAACAACATAAGTGAGGACAGCCACAGATCAAATGGAATGCTTCGCATTAACTCTATTAGAATCTAGGGACGTTTGTTTAATAAATTTGATATCCGCGATTATGAGATATACTGGTGTATAGGGTAAGCTAGCTTGCCTTGGACTTGGCTGCTGACTAATACCCCTTCTTCAAGGTTAGCTGATAAGCGCTATCGGCCTCTCCACATTTGGCGTTGGGCCAATCCAATCTGTCACCACTCCACACCAACACTCTACCTTTCTTGCTGTGAGCGTTATGGGAACTATTTGAACAGACCAAGAGCCAATCTTCGTAATTGCTACCGCATGCAATCAAAGTTTCAAACATAGGTTCAATCGCAGGTCTTGGGAGATCGGGTTGACCCTGAAACGCTGTGGCTCGGCGTCAAACGGAAATCCGAGCCTGAGCACGGGCCTGATGTGGAGAATGTCGACGATCATAAATGGGCAAGACCAGCCAGCCAATCGAACGATGGTTATTACGACTTGTGTGAGATACCATATCCCTGTGAGCATGTACAAGCGTTTGTGAGACCGCTCGGCGTGCTCCAAACTCCTAACCCAGCCACAAACACCCCTTTGATATGACACGCGGCGAGAAGCTGTGCTCGGCCGAGCAAGTCTGCGTATCAATTTGAGTGCTGAGGCTTCACAGTACTTATCTCTCCGACAACGCATCAAGTCCTTGTTCCCTGCCCCTTGTTCCACAAAACGCCGGCCTGGACCATTTTCCATGGTCTAGTTCAGGTAGCTTGATTAGCATCGTACGCTCATCAGAATTCGATTGGCTGTACGAGACACGTTCTCATTCCTCCCGCTCGCCAACGACCATGTCGATCTGTGACGATCTGGCCTGCCGTGGTGGAGTAGTGTTTGTAGTGACCACTGCAACTTTGTTCGAAAGACATCATGAAAGAAACCAAGGCCGTTTATCTTCGAAATAATGTGTAAAGCAAGAAACATCATCATCTGGTGGGAATTAGTGGGCAAGTTAGAGAGTGAATATATGCCGATACGAGAGAGAGTTTCTGAATCATGATGATGCATGCTGTTGAAACGACCATTCATTTGCCCCTGGCGCTCTCTTCAGTTCTGCTACGCTGTCACGCACAGCCTCAGCAACGCGAATGTTCCCAGACTCAGACATATCGAGGGGCCAGTGCGTTGGGCATCTGTTTGAACTTTTCTTTTCGCTTCTCCCCTAATAATATGCTTCTTATGATGGTGGAGATCCCCCTTATGAGCATCGACGCTTATGCCGTGTTAACTCGTAAAGGTAGGTACGTGAGCTGTGAATGGAAGATCTTCTCCGTAGCCTCTACGTAGCTAGAAATGTTCAAGAATTTTCCTTGAGACCGAATGTTACGTTGTTATCTTCGCCATTATTCCCAATGATGGGACCACGCCGTGTCTCTGCACGATGCCGTTGGGCTACGCAACTGGCAGCTTCTACATTTGAGCTGAGGAGCCCTCCATCCATAGCCACTATCCGCAGAAAAGAAAAAAGTTCCTTCCAAAATGCGAAATGGTTCCGAAGGGCGATGGATCTGTGTAGCAGTCGAGAAAACATTCACGTAATTGTGAGCACTAGCTTCCTGCATCATATCTTGAAAGGAGTAGGTGTCACTAGTGTACATCGTCGAAGCCGTCGTATGAAGAAGCAAGAGGACCCCTGTGACGGGTTATGCTTAGAGAGCTTGATATATGGACACGCCAAACACAAAATGAATCATCGGGTTGTGTCGTTGTACGCTAATGTGGTTGGTCTGGACTGAGCCTCGCTCTTGACCCACATCATGCGCAAAGGACCTGCAGGGCGATTGGCAGATTTGATGATTCAAATGCTACCTATCCATGTTTCATACGCGCCAGAGATACAGAATGTGGCTGCCGTGCTCGCCTCTCGTTGGCCTGTCGGCTGCCAGATGCAAAGCGGCGATCGGCTGTTACGCGTCGGGCCCCTGCGCCTCGCCCGCCGCGGATACAACCCTCCCGGCACTTGATACCACATGCCGGATGTATATCCCTGTTTCTGACATTTCTTCGCAGTTTACGATGAAGCTGTCATGTCACTCAGGGTGAGAGACTAAGGTTGATACGTTTGACCATGAGACAAACGCAATGCGTTCTCGTATATAAGAGAAGTCGAAGTCCTGTGCCAAAGTGCCTTTTTCTCAACAACAAGATACCATAAGTACCAAAATAGCCAAGTTTCCAGGCCACTATTGAAAGATGGGCGTCAGCTTCACCCATTTCCCGAAGACTGGTAGTCATCCACTGCAATCGATTTCGGCTGTACCCTCTGCTGCTGCTAGTAGTATAACTGTTGGCAATGGCACAGAGTACTTCACTGATGAGGAGCGGGATGCTGTCCTTTTAGCCCAGCTGCCGCCTTCTCGTGGCGACTCGGACAGCCCCCCTTACCATATTTTCACAAGACGCCAAAAATGGAACTTGGTCTACCTCGTATCTCTGGCTGGTTCCTTCTCTCCTCTTTCGTCAAACATCTACTTTCCTGCCGTCGATACCATCGCCACTGAGCTTGGTGTCAGTGCGTCCCTGGTAGCACTGACCATCACTGTGTACATGGTTGTCCAGGGCATCGCCCCCTCCATTTTCGGTGCCGTCTCGGATACTGGTGGTCGGCGTTTAGCCTTTGTGTTGACGCTGAGTGTGTACACAGCCTCTAACCTGGCTCTGGCATTCACAACCAACTATCCCATGCTCATGGTACTTCGAGGTCTGCAAGCTGCAGGATCTGCTGCCACTATCAGTATTAGTGCTGGCGTAATTTCCGATATTGCAGATCCGAATGAGCGTGGCGGCTTCATGGGAACAAATGCAGGAATTAGGTGAGATTTACATCGACATTGATCCCACGGCTCCATGCATGCGCTAACAAGACATTTCAAGGATGACTGGGCAGGCAATTGGACCCATCATTGGCGGTGCTCTTAATAGTGCTTGGGGTTTCCGAAGCATCTTTTGGCTCCTCTTCAGCATGAGTATTTCCGTGCTTCTCGGTCTGCTAGTCTTCCTACCTGAGACGCAACGGACCGTAGCTGGAAATGGAAGCATTCCCCTTTATGGATTCAAGAAGCCTCTCGCCTATTGGATCCAGCCACCCAAAGAATGGGCTACTGCGAGCAAGCAGACACTTCAGCCCCCCAAAGCACCCCCCTCTATCAAGGAGATCTTCGCCCCGCTGGGATACATCTTCCAGAAAGACATCGCCGCACTGTTATCCTGGGGCGCTATTGTCTACACGGCATGGAGTATGGTGACATCATCAACGACAACTGCTTTACTCAGAGGTTACCCATTCCTGACTCAGTGGCAGATCGGCCTCTGCTTCCTCCCTAATGGTTTAGGATGTGTTCTGGGTTCTCTTTCCACAGGAAGACTGTTGGATCGGAGTTTCAAGAGCGTTGAGGAACAGTATAAGAAAGAACGACGAGTCAGCACAGTCAACATCAAGAAAGACAGAGAATTCCCCTTTGAGCGCGCGCGGCTACCCATGGTACCATATTTCAGCATCGCATTTGTGATTTCAATGGCTCTGTATGGACCTAGCTTTGAACTGAACGATATTCATCGCTTTCAGTCTTCCAACCTTGCCGCCCCCCTCATCCTGCAATTCTTCATCGCTTTCACATCCACGGCGATCTTCAACGTCAACTCTACCATGTTGATCGATTGCTTTCCCGACAGATCGGCAAGTGCAACTGCCCTCAACAACCTCTGCCGTTGTCTTCTGGGCGCGGCTGGCGTCAGTGCCATCCAACCCATGATTGATGCGTTGAAGCTGCGAAACTCGTTTTTGATTCTGGCTGGGGTGGTCATTGTATTTTCCCCTCTTATTTGGATCGAGTGGAGATGGGGACAATCTTGGAGGCAGGAGAGGGAAAGGAAGAAAATGGCGATCAGCACATAGAATAGAATGCCTCGATAGTTGACGTGTGCCGGATTCCATAGCTCAGAAGGTCTCGGCGAAAAAAGCTTCTCTTTTAGTATACATGAGTTAGAATGATAGATTATATTTGGCTATATAGATATGAATATTTCCTTTTGGGCCTCAGCTATAGATTGTTCTTGACTCTTCTTTATTCAAAATATGTAATATTCCCTATCCATGATCTCCCTTATAATTCAACCTAGATTTGGGTAGGGAGGCTCTTTACGCTTTCACTCAGTACAAAATAGCACATGGCTAACATGACCACCAAGGCACATTTTCGTCTCTGTATGGGCAAACATGTCAGGAGCATTTATGTAGCTAATCTCAATGCACCTGCGCAAGCGGCTAAGACAAAATATGGCACACCAGAGCTCTTTGCGTGCAAGCTAGCGATCTCATTATCTTATTGATATTATTCGAACAATAACAGCAATATAATAAATTATTCCATATTACTTAGCTTGATGCTTATTGATAACAAGGTCGACTGTTTGAATATTGTATCGAATCTGAGGCTGTATGGAGGCATTGCTACGGGGTTCTCTTGGCTCTATTGGCTTGCAGCACTCGTGTCACGTTTCTCTTCAATGTGCTTAGACACGACGACCTTCTCATCCTCAATCGCTTCCAGAGAATCGATACGCTCAGCCTCGCGGGTTCCGAAGAGGCCAATCCGGTACCACGGCAGACCAAAGACTCTGTCCATGGTCTCCAGCGACCGTCCCGCCGTCTCTGGAATCGTCACCCAGACCCAAAACCCGCCGAGAATGGTGATGGCTGCGAACATCCAGAACGTCCCGGCCGGACCCAGCCCACCTTGCGCAGTCGGGAGGAGCATGTTGGGTACTGCGCGGCTGTTGCCGTAGGCGTTGGCGAAGTGGGTGCACATCACCAGGGACGACGACAAGGCACGGATGCGCAGAGGGAAGAGCTCTGCTGTGAGGAGATACTGCATGCTGTTCCAGCCAAGCGCCCAGCCAACGCCGGAGATGTAGATGAAGGCAATGGCGCCGGTGCCGGCACGGGCTTCAGAGGGCGACGAATGGTACCCGGCCTCTGCGATGCGAGGGACTTTGGTGAGGAAAGCGGCCACGTACGCCATGGAAACTGTCTGTAGGGCGATGCCGATGAGGAGCGACCTCTTGCGGCCAATGACGTCGACGAGGAAGAGAGCGCAGATCATGGAGGAGCAGAATTTAACGACGCCGAAGACGACGGTGGAAAGGAGGCTCTGCTCGGTGCCGGTGACGCCAACGAGGGCGAAGAGGTTGGACGCGTAGATGGTGATGGAGGGACCGCCGGACCACTGGGATAGGAGCTGGCCGCCAATGCCGATGTAAATGCGGTAGAAGTTGCTCGGTGTGAGGAACAGCTCTTTCAGTAGACCGGTGAAGCCAACCCCAGCGGTGGCTTCCTTCTCGTGAGCGAGTGAGAGCTCAATGTCGGACATTTCACGCTCTATGTATTCGTGGCTCGGGGGTAAGTTGCGGATCTTGCAGAGGTTGACGAGGGCTTTGTCGCGCTGACCGGCCGCGACGAGGTAACGGGGTGACTCGTATGTGAAGATGAAGCACAAGGCGAAGATGATGATTGCAAACATGAGGTGGACAGAGGTGGGGAGGAGCTAGAGGGAGTCAAAGTCAGAGCTGAGAGTCAGCTATGATATGGTACTGTGTTGTTGTGTGTTGTAGGACTTACCCAGCGGCCGATGGAGTTGGGCATGCTTCTGGACGTCCCGTAGTTGGCAACATACGCAATGATTACGCCGATGTAGACGGCGCCGGTGAAGAAGCAAGTACAAGCACCGCGTACGGAGGCCGGGGCGATCTCAGCGATGTATACGGGAGCCACAACGGTCGTCTGGCCAATTCCCAGTCCGGCGATAAGTCGGCCGGCATATACAGCGCCCAGATGACCCTTGTTGCCCATGAAGATGGCGATACCGACTGACCACAGGATGCAAAGTACGCGGGTAGCCCACACTCGGCCGATGCGGTCACAAATTAGAAATGCTCTGTGATTCGTTAGCCTGCTTCTTTGGATCTTACGAGGGGTTTTTTTCAGAAGTTTTCGTACAGAAGAGCACCTCCGATACTTCCGACATTGACCATGGCGACGACATTGCCCTTAATATTGGCCAGCTCTGAGGGGTCCTTGTTCTCTATGCCAAGGTATTCCTGGAAGGCGGAAGAGGTGAAAACACCGTTGATCAAACCCTCGTCAATGCCGCGGGCGGCACCCATTAGGGCAAAGGGGACGATGGCGCACCATAGCCGCCAGTTGAAGATTTCCTTAGGAGCATCCGTGGCATAGTGCTTGAAGATGTTGAGAGGCTTCTTCGGTCCGCCAGCCATGATGAGATGCTATTGTAGAAGAAGTTTGGAGATGGAGGGAAGAACAATGCGATGTGGAAAAGGCAGTGACCAAATTGACTCCAGATGTCTTGAGGCCGCTCGGGTCAGCTTAAATATATGTTGAAGAATCGAGAACCTTATCTCCATGACCCCAGACATGTACCCCAAAGTCATGACAGGTTGTATATAAATTCCGGATCTCCGCATGTCTATCGTCCAGCTCTCATTCCAAGCAAGGATTGTCGTCAAGATATCTGTTTTAGGAGCGCAAACCGAGCAAACTTAGTCCAAAGATTAGGAGACGTTCGCTGCTCGACACGCGATTGGCCGTCGCCGAGAGCCCCCAAATCTGGCTTAGCGGCCGTGATCGAGATTCATCCTCCGAGTCAGTCCGGGAATGACTCCGCTCGTTTTGTCCTTGGACGTTGCATCAACGAGCACGACAAGGGGCCTTCATAGTCCACACCGTCACCCATGTCATCATCATCTTCTTCGTCAGCATACTTGAAGAGAAAACGAACGAGGACGTTTACGGGATGTCTCACTTGTCGCCGCCGCAAGGTGAAGTGTCCCGGGCCAGGCAATCCTTGTGGGACATGTCTCCGGCTACGGCTGGACTGTGTCTCGCCCTTCTCGAGCAACCTGAGGTCGACAAATCTGGCCAGCCAAAGTAGCCCCAAGTCATCCTCATTCGATGCCAAATCCCCATTGACGCCGCATACGTCAATGCTTGAAGATGATATGCATCTAGACGTATCAACAAGCCCTGTCACTAACGAATGGGACACTCCTTACAATTGGGGGTTGGCGCCGCCGTCTGAGCCATTGAGGGAGAAGCTCAAAGCTCACGCTGTTCCTCCTTCTCTGGATCACCACCGCCTTTTTGAGGATATCCCTCTCTCTAATGAGTCATTTGCGATCCCTTCACCAGGTGACTCTCAGGTGTCAGCGTTTCCCTGGCTTCACAACGAGTCAGACATCTCCCCATCTCCTCAGATGGAGATTTTGCTACAACAGGGATTCAACGACGAAGACTTTTGCACAGCCTCGCCGTCAAGCCCATCGGGACATGGCCAAGATTCCAACGATGGCCCCGAGGAAATATGCCTTCCCGAGCTTTTCTCTGCAGGGTTGAGCCTCTTCCCGTTGGACACAGAGCCATCTGCGATCCATCACTTCAAAACATACATGACCAGTACCCTCAGTGTCAAGAACGCCCAGTGGAATATCTTCTCGCACTTCCTCGCCTCCAGCAAGGCAAATACGTACTCACCAGTACGGAGCGGCATCATCGCCTGGGCAGCAGCCCATCGCGGGCTGGAGGGACAGAAGGCCTCAAACGAGTACCTAGTCCATTATGCACAGGCATCTTCCGAGATGGACGCCCTCACTACATCCCTGGTGGTCAAGAACGACTGGCGGCAGGAACAGGTTGATACCGTCCTGGCAACGGCATATTTCCTCACCCACTGCGATCTCGTAACCGGAAACATGTCAGGCCTCGTATCAAGACTCGACAGCATACGGGAGTTGATTAGAGAAAGACGGGATCTCATGAGCAGCGGTTTGACCGGCATCAGCGCGCGGCTGCTTCTCTGGCTGGCCTACTTGGACCTCCGACGGTCGGTATTTCTTCCCCAAGGTGACCATGCTGCCGACACCATCATTGGAATCATCGGGAATCAGGGGTCCTTGCATCGGCTCTACCTTAGAAGCCGACTGTATCTCAAGGAGGCTTTCGGCGAGAGGTATCCCAGCCTAGAACTGCGGGACGACATGATTCAGGACCCCGTAAATATGAAGTTTGCCGAGGGCATGTCTGTTTTCGGAAGAATACTCCAACATGCTCGGGATGGGCATGAAAATGTCCCCGAGACCAGGGATGCGTTGGAGAAACTTCACTCCGAAATGGTCGAGCTGGAAAGAGTGAGTTCAAGTTTCCTTCTCCCAAGACAGGGCCCGATGTTCCCCCTGCAAATACTAATCGTCAAACTTGCGTAGGAATGCGATCTTGCTCTTCAAGGCTTCGACTCGGGCGGCTCTATATCTATCACGCGAACATCATACCACTGGCTCAATCTGAAAGCCACCACCCAATGCGGGCTTATCCTCCTTAGCCGGATGCGCAACCCAAGTTGTCGAACCGATGATGAGGCACAGTCCGCAGCCTACAAGATCCTGAAGATCACCATCCAGCTGCGCAAGGCGAACAAGCTGCACAACCCACACTCGGTATTCTCGGTGCTGCCGATATTTCTCGCGGGCATCGAGACTGTCGACGAGGTTCACCAGGACTGGATCATGAGGTTCCTGGAGGATGCGCGTGGTTGGGGGTTGCATGTGCAGAGAGCCGCTCAGGTGCTGCAGCGTGCTGTGGAGAAGCAGAAGCAGACGGGATGCAGGCTGGGATTCAAAGATATTGCCGATCTGGCTAGTGAGCAGCTCGTATTGTAATCAATTGTCAGCTTTATGTTCGCTGCTATTTCAACTGCCTTCGAATTACCTACATAAGGTTATCCGTTCACGTAGACGTAGAGACAAAATTACCAAGTCCGCCTGTAATCCTTCGCCTCGCCACCAACAATCACTGACCTCTGAGCTATGTCCATTATTGGTCCCAGAAGTTGCGCATGATAACGTCGCTGAGATGCCTTGAATGGGAGTAGTGGAAATGAGCAATCTTCAAGTTGTACTCCGCATTCTTTGTTCCGTATATATGGCCCCTCATCGCTTAGACTTCCTTTTTCATACATCATGCCGACTCTCAGTTTGGACGCTAAGGTTGCGAATATCTCTTATCTGCGGACCAGCTCATGGGAGTCTGCATGTCGGTTACTCTGAACCCATTCCGATATTGTCTTTGTCGGTCATATTATCATCATGCTTGCGTCTGGAACCCTCGTCCCAGTGGGCAGCGGCTTTCCCGCATCGGCCTTGTCACCGCCTCGGTCACAACCCACGACGGCATACGATGAAAGAGGGAAGCTGCTCACAGACGCTGACCTGACCTCTTTGTCCGCCGGTGAGGCTTCTGGTCTGATGAGGAGTGGCCACATGACGGCGCAACGCTATGTTCTCAGCCTTCTTTCGCGCATCAATCAGCGGGATGGTCGTATCCAAGCCTGGGTGTTCCTGGATGCCGAGGGTGCCATGAGTCAAGCCAAGGCCCTTGATGGCTTGGCCCCTGAGCAGAGAGGGCCGTTGCATGGGGTTCCAGTCGGTATCAAGGATATCATTGCTGTGAAAGGTACAGCTTCCTCAAATCTGAAAAGGCAAAATGAAAATGTATCAAGTACTCATATGCTTAATCTAGGCATGCCGACACGATACGGATCTACGATTCACGATCATGATGATCCGGCACCTGCTGATGCTGCCATCGTCTCAATTTTACGATCCGCAGGCGCCATCATTCTCGGCAAGACGGCGACGACCGAGTTCGCGGCGACCTCGCGCGGAGGGTCTTGCCGCAACCCCAGAGATCTGAGCCGTACGCCAGGAGGTTCTTCATCCGGCTCTGCAGCCGCAGTGGCCGATGGCCATGTCCCTATTGCCGTCGGGACCCAGACAGGAGGGAGCATGATCAGGCCGGGGTCATTCACAGGCACATTTGCTCTCAAGGTCAGTAGACTACAGTCCTCCCCAACCAATAGCCCTTGTATTGAAGGGAGTTCTGGGATCGATCTACTTTCTGACCAGAACAACCTGCATAGCCTACTTGGGGTGCCTTGTCGACAGAGGGTGTAGGCAGATTCTCAATATCTTGCGACACACTGGGCTTTTACACCCGCAATATGGACGATCTATCCCTGCTATCAGAGATCGTCCGCATCTCTCCGGGCTCCAGGAATATCCCGCCCCCGCTAAGGCCTTCTTCTTGCCGGGTCGCCTTTATCAGGTCTCCCATGTGGCCCAAAGCAGGCCCCGGGACTCAAGGGGCCTGGGAGCAAGCTGAGAGGCTTCTCGAGCAGGCAGGGGCAACCGTCGTCCATGTTGAATTACCCAAAGTATTTAACAGGTGTTACGACTGGAGAGAGACGATAGTTTCTTCCGAGGCCAGAGTAGCGTTCCTCCCACGTAAATAACAACTCACTCCTGGGCGTCTAGGGCTTGAAATTGTTGAATGGAGCTAACATAGAGCAGGATATATCCAAGCAAAGGAGAAGCTGCACCCTTCCATTCGGAAATATGTGGAGAGCAGAGAGCATCCTTCCAGCGAAGCTCTCTGTGAGGCCTACGACTGCGCCAGTCAGCTTCGTAACCAATGGGACAAGATCGCTAGGGAATTCGACTTTGTTCTCACTCCCAGTGTGCCTGATGAGGCGCCCGTGGGACTTGAGTGGACGGGGAGCTCGGTGAGTCGCATCCACAGGTGGGAGGCAGGTTGTGATCATTGCCGCTAATGAGAAGAAAGGCTTTCTGTACCTTGTGGACTATCTTGCACGCTCCCGCTTTGAATGTACCCGGATTAGTAGGCGAAAGCGGACTGCCAGTCGGCCTGACGGTGACGGGACCCCGGAGTGCGGACAGGAGGATTCTGGAGGCTGGGAGATTTGTCGGGAAACTCTTTGGAGATTTGCAGCCAGCTCTATGATTCTTACTATACCAATGATGCGAACAAATTACAAGACTCTATCCCGGAGAATTGGAACTGTGAGCATCTTTACTGATGCCTAAAGCTTGTGCTTGAAAACCCAAGTAAAATAAGGTCATGTCACTTCGCTAAGTTTAGAAGGCTGAACTTTCATTCTATAACTGTCTAGTGTGCCACCAGTTTGAACCATTTAAATACGTGTTCGTCGGAGATGAAGTGAAATTTCAAGTTCTACCCTTCTTCCTCGAGAGTTACATCAATCTGGATAGCATACCATAGAAAATCATTGTTGATTCCCTGGGACCTTTCCAATCACTTATGCTCACGACCAAGTGTTCGCAGAAATTGTGCTTATCAGACTTTGGAGTTTTCTTCGCCAGCTCTTGCATCTGGACGGTATGAGGCTCACACAAATCGACATTGATTCGGTTCAGAAGGACTGTGATCATGGACAAACCTCCAAGTTCAATACATGCTTTCACTCAGCAGAAAGCCTGCCAGAAGGATTTGAAACCCCATCCGAGGCACCATATGCATTTAGGAGGTGATTGCCACTCATTCTGGAGTCCCGAGGCCTGGATTCCTCTGCCGCGCAAATTGTCCACCTCTCAAGGCACCAAGCGCAGCTCATAGTCGACTCATCTGCAAGCTCAATCCTCACAGGCCAGCTCAATCGTGCCGCGGCAGAAGATTTTCAAGATGAAGTCTGTCCAAGCTTCGCATCATTAATTTATCCGCCAGAAGGACTTTTCATGCGGCTTGATGGTTGTTCGCCAAAGGATGCAACGTGTCGACTCCATAGAGGACGGCAACCCCAATCTCTACTTCTCTCGATGATGGATATCATGCTACGATTAACGTCTTCACAAAGAGCGGTGAATGACGTAAGAAGATCCTTGTCAAGCGGTTGTTCGGACGTGGCCATTACTTTTCTCCCGTTTCACGAACGCATGTGTAGTGAGCGAGAATATCGCGTTTTTTGTGCACCCGAGTCTGCCAAAATCACTGCAATAAGCCAGTATAGGTGGAATAAGTCCTGGAAGTTCTCCAATGAGCTGCAAGATGAGAAAGTTAGAGTGGCGTCTGATATTCACGTTGCGATCCAAGCTCTCCATCAAAGGATCTTGCAACAACTAAAGCCTACTGAGCCGCTTGATGCGATGTTGCTGAAACAAGGGTTCACATTTGATGTTTTCTACGATGAAGAGAATGGACAGGCGCAACTTGTTGAGTTGAATGTCTTTGGAGCCCGGAGCGGGTGTGGATCATGCTTGTTTGAATGGCTTGGTGACCTCGCACTACTTTACGGCGAACAAGAGGAGGTGGAGTTTCGGGTTGCATGTTGACATTAGCTATTAAGAGACTACAGCATTCACTTTCAAATATCTTCTCGGTCCTTTTCCATCTTTCTTTCTGTCAATTGTGACTAATACGTTTGGGTACACGGAAAATTCCGTGTGGTTTTCCGATACAGTTGAGAGCAGTGGCAGCGAACTAATCACGGTTCAAGCAATAAATGCCTGGTATAATTCCGGAATGTTGACGGGATATGTTGATTTGTCGCACTGTTACCTGTTTCATCTAGAGAACATCACTGACTGAGGAATGTAGGGAGATAAATACCCTGGTAGATGGAATTAAGCCAGATACCAGCCCATAATTGTGCAACATTGACCGTGTCAAAAGCCCGCCCCCCTGTCTCTATAGATATGCTGGAGTATGAGGGTAGGATGGTTTATAGACATCGATGATTCTACCAAAAGAAAGATCAGAGTTGGCTTATCCCGTTGTGTCGGTGGTAATTCTTGATCAGGGCAGAGAACAATAGTGCCATTTTAGCCATCATCTCGGGACAGCCCCGCATTGCTTCTGAAAACTTGGAAGCGACGGCTGCTGGTAGTAAGAACATCATGAAGAATAAGCTGAAACTGGCGAGACCCCTTCGCTTAAAGCATGCCCATTATCATCCCCAGAAGCCCACCTCGAAGAACAATTTACAGGCACGAAATTGACTAGCCTGACATGTGCTCACGGCTCTATACTCGCAATATTGACTGTCTCAGGACTAGTGGTGAGCAATTTCGGGACCCCTAGTGGCCACTCTATGCCTACAAGAGTATGAGCTTCCGGCCTACCTAGTTCTCTTTCCCAGGACCACTTATTCTTACATATTAGTTCCCCGAGAAGTTTGGTGATATATTAAGCAAAAGCTCCATATGTACCCCTTCATTTCGCGTGCGGGGTTGGCGTTAGAGCTCTAGTCAACGTTCATTCATGAAAACCAAATTATCGTATTAAGTTAGAAGTGTTATAATGCTGAACAAAAAATAGATGAATTTCAATCTTGCTCAGTGATCTATATCTATAAGTAATTTAGACACCCGCTGTCTCCTTTTTCCCCCTTAATTTCATTCATCTTCTAGCTTGATCACGGCTTCCAAAATGTTGGGCATATCATCTATTTTGTTTCTCCTTGTCATTGCTTGCACGGCTCAATCGAATGTTCGAGCTTCACATAGACATGGGCTGAGAAGGCAGACGCAACACGTTGAAACCTTGACATCAACTTTGTTGGCGTCCTCAACGACGTCAGTAACTTTGGATTCAGGCAGTACCATAAGCACTACGGTACCACTATCATCATCAACAGCATCCTTCATACATCCGGGCGTACTCCTTGACTCAGATCAGATCCAAGCAATTGCTTCAAGGGTTGCCAATGGATCCTCCGAGTGGTCCGAGGCTTATTCAGCGATGATGAAACATAGTCTGGCCACAAAGACTTCTCCTGAACCCATCGCCACTGTCGAATGCGGGGGTTCATCTTCAAGTGTGTCTGTGGGGTGCAAAGAAGAGAGAAATGATGCCATGGCCGCATACCTCAATAGCTTGGCCTGGATCGTCACCAAGTCCACAACGTATTCCAAACGTGCAATTGAGTTCATGAACGCCTGGGCAAGCACGCTTCAAGCTCATACAAACAGCAATGCGCCTCTGCAGGCAGGTTTTGCTGGGTCAGTGTGGGCCCGAGCAGCTGAGTTGATCAGACACACGGATGCAGGTTGGGCCGATGCCGACATTGCCAAGTTTGAAGACATGTTGCGAGATGTCTATCTCCCACAAGTCATTGTAGGCGCGCCTGGATACAATGGAAACTGGGAGCTGAGTAAATATGCTTTACCGAATCTGCTGGATGTTTCATTGGCTAAATTTTTGATTGTCTGCAGTCATGATGGAAGCCGCTATGGGCATTTCAATCTTTTTGGATGACCATGAAAGCTACGACGAAGCGATGTTGAGGTTTCTCGACCGAGCTGCTGCTTATATCTATCTAGAAAGGTATGACATTGTCGCAATTCGCCTTTTCGCAGCAGAATTTAACAAATACGGCAAGTGATGGTGATATGCCCCATACAGCTACGGTAGATGCCAAATGGCTCAAGACGAACAAGGATATCATCAAGTTCTGGAACAACCAGTCGATTTTCAATGTGAGTGGCCTGAGCCAGGAGACTTGTCGCGACTTTGAACACACAGGCTACGGGCTTGCCGCGATGTCGCACGTGGCCGAGACCTCAAGAATCCAGGGAAGGGATTTGTACAAGGAAGATACTGGAAGTCGGTTGCGATATGGACTTGAATTCCATTCCAAGTACACTTTAGGTGGCCTACAGCCAGAATGGCTATGCAACAATGAGACACTAAGCACATATCTTGGTCCAGGTGAGTCACACTGTCGTTGAGACATTTTTTCAATCCGGCATCGACTTACACAATGAAAAGCCACTGAGATTGGCTTTAACGCTCTTTCTTACCGTCTCGGGTACGCCATGCCGTCTACTGAGAAGCTCACAGAGAAACAAAGGCCTTCAGGCGCTCTCCTTTTCTACGGATGGGAGACGTTGACACACCTGCGAAATTAGTCCACCAAGATATGGTCGGATAGATATTGAAGATAAGTTGCTTGGCTCGGACGGTCTCATAAATCGGAGAGTGCTTGGTTTACGAAGTAGAGCCTTCGGATATTCCATTAAATATAGTAGATCGAGTAAATACTATGGTCTTACTTTATGGCTTAATGAGTTCATACCATAGGAAGGGTTCATAACGATCGTCTGCGATTGGGCCGGGATGAACAGCAGTAATGTAATCTTAGCACTCTCGGCAGACACATTAATTTTTTGCTCCTTCACTTCATAAATTCAATAACCGCTTTTAAAATATCTACTCGGTTTTTTTTGCTCTTTTGTTTTGTTAGTAGCAACTAATAGGCTTGGGTGCAAGGAAGAGCTTCTTATAGTTCTCTGATACAGTTGAGAGGCGTGGCAGCCAGCGAATGGTAGTTTGTTTCAACTGATTATTGCAACATGATACGGGGTCATGGCGCTCACAGTGAATTGTGAAGGAAAAGCTGCTGAAAAGACCTTTATTTTGACATCTCGCGTACATGGCAGAGCTGCATATAAGCGGTGGCTGTACCATGCACAGCCTCAACCTTGTCGCCCAACATGCAAGAGGGAGGGGGTGGCGGTGTCGCATGAGTAAATTTCTATCAAGCTTCCTGTCGTCAGACGCATTTTGTTATAGTTGATACCATTCTCTCCGTTCCCTGAGACACTCAGCAACCACACAGTCCCAGAATCTAAAGGGGAGATGATATATCGCCTCACACCCTGACACGAATCAATCTGGTTGCACGAGGCAGCCGCTCACGACGAACGACGACAATAATCTCAAGTTGAATCCTCCTAGTGACGACTGGCGCCATGGAGGCAGCTGCGAGCGTGATAACGTTCATCAGTTTCTCGATTGAATCTACCAATTTAATCTATAAAGTTCTGACAGGGATCGAAGATGGACCAGAGTCTGTTGGCATTACACTGTCAAATGTGAAAATTCTCCAGTGGGCACTTAAGCAGCTAGCTCATCGTATGACCACAGGTGGTCAGCTACCGCCCATAGAATTTCAGATTCAGATCCAGAACTTTTCGCAGGATCTTGGCGCGTTCGCCTCCAAGCTGACCAAGTTTGAAGCTCTCGAAACCGACAGTCGCGCGCGGAAGCTTTGGAAGCGTCTCAAGGCTGTTTTAAGCGAGAAGGATCTTGAGAGGATGACGGAGGCAGTGGGGGTCTATTCTTCAAGCCTCAACTTATATATGACGTCCTTACCTGACTCGAACACTCAGCATTTGGAATTACTGCGGACAGATCTGGCCAGGGCAGATGTCCAGCGACAGCAACAGCTTTCTTCCATTTCCACCTCCTTGGACCACGCCTCAACTACCAGTGAATCAATGCGGTCAAAACTAGACCAGGGACTGCAATTATTGGCTTCAAATTTGAACGATTCAAGGGCCCAGTCAGAAGCCAATCAGCAAGAAACGAACCACAAATTATCTCTTGTCTGGGATGCGATCCAATCTCTCGCGGCCAGAATTGAGCCCGCAACTACGTTAAAGTCTCCCGTCGCTCCGCCCATAGAAGAAAAAACTCCTGGCAGCAGCTCCCTACCTTATGCTTCGCCTAGCACATACAGTCGGACCATGCTACCTCTCGAACACCAAGTTCCGGCGATTATGCTCGAAAATGAGAAGATTTTGGATTGCATCAATCGTTTGTGTGGCATGGTAAGCCAGTGTGAAGACACGTCGGATGAAGAAACCGTCGATAGCGTCATCGAAGACCTGCAAACTATCATCCGGGCCGTGACGAGTCAGTCTAAGGATCGTGTTAGTGTTAAAGAAATGCAGCGTGTCAGTGGGTTATTGGACTCTGCCCAAACTCTGTCTATCAATGGCCAAGGTGAGTAATTTGGGAACCCCATAATGGCCATTAAATCAAATATCACAGTTGCATTCGGATATACCTTGCTAAGTAGTTGTCTTCAGCTCAGAGAGGTCCTTGGCCGAATCAAGTTGCTCGACACGAGCAGCGGCTGGAAACGTACGAGATTGGAAATGGAACACTGAAAGTGCGCACAAAGCGCCGATATCTTCAGCATCATCCTGCAGATGGTGGATCAATACGAAAGAGACAACGTAGCGGTATCGGATTCACTACTTCAAGACTCACGTTTCTACCAAAAGTCCGTGACGGCATGATGTTTTCGGCGATTATTCAGCAGCAAACTTCTCACACGGGATCTTTCTCCCCAATCCCTTTTTTCCAAGCAAATTACATCCGCCCACGAGACTCATTAGTCTTCCAGCTCATCGAAGAGGGGCGATTGTCCGAGCTCATAACTCTCCTACGAGAGGGCAAGGCATCGCTGAGGGATCATGATGATTTGGGGAGGCCACTTCTTTGGGTAAGTAAAACCTCAATTAGTGCTTGACCCAAGAGGGCTCACACAAGTTTTTGAAAGTTTGCCGCTACATATATACAACCTCATATATGTCGATACCTACTCGAAAATCGTGCCGACCTAGACGTGTATTGTCCCGATAGGTTCGATGAAAGTTACGAACGTTCTCTCATTCTAACCTGCATGTATAATGATGATGATTGTGAAGAAGAAGAATTGCGGCGGGCTAATGAATGCAGGAGGATCTTGCTTGAGGCGGGGGCAGATCCGACAGACGAACCTGAGAGTAGAGATCCTGTGTTCTGTCAAATCTTTGAGTATGAGAGTAATTTGGTAAGTTGGATTAACACATCATGATACTTTGTCTTTCGTTTGACTAACAACAGACCTTTGGAGGATTCGATGAGAACATTTCTTGATTTCAGTGTGGGATTTGCGGGCATTGAGTGGAGAGACCCATCTGGGAGGACTCCCCTGCTGCTTGCATCGTCTAACAGAGACCGCCGCCGTAAAGAGTCTTTTGAACTCTTACTCAATCGTGGTGCTAATATTCATGATGTTGACGATGACGGTTGGGGTTGCCTACATTGGTGTCTACATGACATGAATGATAGATGGGTAGGGTTCAACATCAAGGAACAGGCAGACGCGATAGTTTGCTTGATTCGAAATGGGGCCGATATACGGGCGAGGAGCAAATCCGGCATGTCTGTTTCCGACATAGCTTATTCCACTTGGCGAGACAACGTACCATTGAACAGCTGTCGCCGTGATGTGTGGGATTTTGCCCTCGCTGTATGCGAATACAACGTTCTGGAAATTCGAGGAAACTTTCGGCGAGTGGCGGAGTACACTTCTAGTTATTCATGGCCTGTCTTCCGGCGTCTTTGGTCTGGTCATGAGCATTTGTGTCCATATCCAGATGATCTTGTTTAAGTTTAATCAGACGATTTGTAGATAATGATAACTAAAGAAAATTTCAGGAATAGGAATAGCTATGGACTAGGAATAATAATAAGATTATAAGAAGGAAACTAAGTATCAAAGTATATATTAACTTTAGTTAGGATTACAGGTTAAAAAAAAAACTAATATTACTTAAATTAAATACAATTTTAATAATCGAAATATTTAAGAGTAGTTATTAAGCCTATATATTAAGGTAAATATATTATATTATTACTTAATTCAGCTAAATTAAGTCTTCAGGTTATTTGAAATGAGGTTGCTATAAGATGGTTTATAGCACGTGCGCGTGAAGGTGGTGGAGAGCAGTAGTAAGTGGAGCGCATTCCTGGCGTATTTGGTAGAGATTCTCGCTCCTTCACCCCACAAATTCCCTCGTGCAAGCAGTAACGGACATGTATGCAGACCGCAGCCCTTGAAAATGGACACAAGTCAGAGAAAGACAAAAGCCTGCGATGGCTGCCGGTTCCGCAAAGTCAAATGCCATGGCTCGTGGCCTTGCACGCAGTGCGCTCACCTAAATCTCTCATGCACCTTCTCGACTCCTACGACAAGCCGGCGCGGACGCGGGCGTCGTGGCTGGCTTGTCGCCCAGCTGCGGGGAGAGAGGAGAGATGATCATGGGACCGAATGCCTGCCTCGACCTCATAGCCCTCAGACCGGATCGCGCTCTGAGCCGTCACGGCCCATGAGTTTCTTCCTTAGCTTGCTTCCACAATATGCCGAGTTTGTATACCCGTTGAATCCGATAATCTCGCCCCCAGAGATGGAGGAAGCCATCAGAAACATGAATCAAAGTAGCGAAGATGCCGCCCTTGTCCATGCCTTTGCGGCTATAACTATCAATCGGATGCGGTCATCGTGGGCTCTTCATAAGGGTGTTGCCGTGCAAATGACCGAATTAGTCCGGTGCAGCACTAGAGCCTATCGAACATACGAACTCGATTGGGACGATGAAAAAGATGACGATATTCTTAAGTCGTTGCCTGTGACCGCAAAACGCATTCTTACTTGTGTGTTCTTGAGTGTCTGCGCACTGACACTAGGAAGGGTCGACCGCAGCTTTGCCTGGCTTCGTGAAGGTATTACCATGTTTCAGGCCCTTGATTTCGTGCAGAACTTCCCAAGCGGACCAAACAATGCAGCGAGATGGCAAAGGCTCTACTGGGAACTGTTTCTACATGAAAGACATGTGGCTCTTCTTCCGTCTTTTGGTAGTGTCTTACCGGCTCCAAGCTGGGGACCTCCAGTTAGTGATACGAGTATACCGGGCCACATCGACCTCGGATTTCGTCGCCTAGTCAATCTCTTTGCCATTTTGGATGATAGGTTTCTTGCTCACTGGCGCTCACAACAAAACCGCTCCACTGAGCAGTCCACAGAGTCGCCTTTGACAACCCAGTGGATAGAGGACAAGCACAAGGAGTTGGATGAAGATGCAGCTGGTACAGCCGAGGAGGAACGGTTATCAAAGGAAAGAGGAAGCAGTGGTCTGACAGAACTCCAGCATATCGACCTTGTGATTACCAGGTTATGGCTACGGACTCTGCTCTGGCAGCTTGCCTTATCTCAAGGTCTTCTTGCTTCCACGACCTCCTCCACAAACCACGAAGGACTTTCATTTCAGTTCCCAATCAGCAACCTTTATACGGAGTTCCGATCAGTATTTAGCCGTCTTCAAGATGTCACCAGCGTGGGCTTTCACGGGATGGGGATGCTTGAGAAGCTCTTCGAGATAACCAGCACCATCGCTGATGTCATGGTAGTGACCAGCCAATCCGCCCAGATTGAAGACGAAGATATTTCACGAGTAGAATATTTGTTGTTCCTCTTCAAGTTTCTTGCAGGATTCGATGCGGTTGCTTCAAAACAGAGAAATTACTTACTTGAGAAGCTGCAAGCTATGAAAGGCATGTACACTATGATAGACTTTGACGGTGTCGTTTTAAACAACATGGGCGGTTCCAGTGGTATCGATGCCAGTCCCGGATCCCATTACTCTCCACCCTAGGTTGGATAATACAAATACTAGATTCACAAGTCACTGTGCAAAACGAAATAAACTAAAGTATTTTAAAGAAGAAGGCTAGAGACCCTGTTTGCTAGATCCGTGTATCTCAACAATTCCCGCGGCCGAATTCCATCAGCAGCCACAACTTGATAATTTATTGATGCATAACGGATCACGATTAAACCCCCCTTTTTTTTTTTTTTTTTTTTGGTATAATCCTACTGTATCGAATCGGTATCGCCCCTCTGGTGGATGAATTGTAAGTCAGGCTTCTACGAGTACCTACTAGCACGACAAAGTTTGAGGTCTTCTACACAGGTAGGTAGGAAGAATTACTCTAGGCTACTCGAAAGTCGCCGATTTGATCAGAGAGCAATTAAATATATTGATATGCCCCTCAACTATCTACAAGCAACTGATCCTAGTCTACACCAAAGAACAGTAAAAAAATTGAAGGAATTGGAGTAGAGAGCGCAGTGCCTTGAGCAAAGAAGAACCGCATTAGTTCTACTAAAGAAGCACCACATCGCTACCTAATTCTTCCTATCTTCATCAAGCCCACTATTAACTTTTCCCAAAACAGAGATCTGGTCCACAGTTCCATCTAGAGTGTGCAGCACAGTGGTTGAAAACTTCCGGGCACTGACCCCTTGCTCAAACAGAAGATCAAGCTCGAGATATGTCCGCCCCTTTGGCTCGGGAAGTCGGAAGTAAGTCCAGATTGCACACAGCATACATGAGCCAGCCCAAAAGAAACCTGTCTTAGCACCCCAATTCCAAGCTGTTGGATTAAGCATACGGGGAGTAACAACGCTGGTGACGATGCACACGCAGTTGTACAGGTTCCGTGCGAGGGCAACTGATTTCGTCCGAAGGCGGGTCGAGGACAATTCAGACACAAGCGAATAACAGATTGGGCCCACGGTGCAGTCATAGAGAAAGGTGTGGACGATAAGCAGACTACCAATTGTCCACTGGGCTGCAACATTCTCTCGGCCGACTGTACCAACACAGCCGATGATGAGGAGAACAATTCCGAGAATGATTTGACCATAAAGATAGATAGTTCGGCGCCCGAACCAATTCATCATAAACCAGGCGGCAATAGTTCCAAGAAGGCCCATGCCATACTGACCAAGCGACATATTGAAGGAATTCTCGACAGCCATACCGGCCTGCTGGTAGAAATAGGTCGAGTATGATGTGATGGTAGAGCCAGTCGCAGCTTGGATCATCCATGTCACACAGACCACTTCAGTGCGCCGAAGGTTGGTGCCTCTGAACAGATCCATGTGCGACATCCCTTCCTGAGCATCCTTCTCCGCCTTGTTGGTATGTATAATCATCGAGATTGTTTCGTTGGCGTTGAATGATATTTTCTCGTGCTTTGTGGTGAGTCGATCAAGTGAACGCTTTGCTTCGTCGATACGATCATGACGAACAAGCCACCAAGGGGATTCAGGAGCGAAGAATATGCCCACTATGAGAGGCACAGGCCACATCCACTGCAAAGCAAACGGGATCTTGTAGCCCCACACGTCATCCCGCGATAGCATAGATCGGAGCACTCCGGATGCAATGAGCTGACCCAGAACCCAGCAGGCGTTGATGTAGGTTGTGAGGTAGGCGCGGAGATGAGTCGGGCAGACCTCAGAGGCGTACGTTGCAGTCGTGGTTTGGAAAACGCCCCAAGGAATAGCAATGAGGATCTCTCCAATAAGAAGCTTAACGAGGGACTTGGAGAAGAAGACGATGAAGATGAAACCAGTGCAGAACACTAAAGCTCCAATGAGGGTTTTGCGGTAACCGAGACGGTCTGCAATAAATCCAGTCAAGAGAAGCCCGATGATCTGTCCTGCTTGGTTGCCTCCAGAAAGGCCTGATTGCCAATCGGCTGCCAACTGGTAGCTGCCATCTGGTTGACGCTCACCAAAGTCCCGCTGGAAGGGTGGATAGGCGTAGAGAGCGTTCAAGAGAACGACATCAAAACCCTCCATAATCACACATGTGGATAGGAAGATGGACCACAAACAAGCTTTCCTGTAGAGCTTGAGGGATTTGAAAAGACCCATACTCTGTTCATTCTTATTTGCGGCCACAGCCTCCTGGGCAACGATATCATGATCATCATTGGAATGATTATGCATGTTGACAGGCTGTTCCACACCTGCGGAGGGCATGGCGAAGGAAGTGTGTTCAGAGCTTAGAAGAGGAGAAGGCTCGTTGGCTTGATTATGTTGTTGTCATCTAAGTTGGATAACTTTGAGGACCTGAAGGAGATGATCTCTTCTGAAAAGGTCGGATGGAAGGGATCATATATACTACTTTCCGATCTTCAAGGCATCAGAGCAGACTGCCTTAGATAACGAAATATGGGGCTATCTCCACAGAATGAACTTCTCCACGGGGCGTTTGGCGTGGAGATAACCATTATGGGAAACTGATACCGTGGAAATGGTTCGAGGCCTTTGCTGGGGAAAGTTGACTCTTCGATCTTCTGATTTCTTATCGGAAGATTATACCTCAAAATTCCGCCAACGCTAAGCAATATGTCGGGCCGACAATAGACCAATAAGAATGTCTTATTGTGCTTCAAACGGATCACCCCACAATCATCTCGGAGCGACATCCAGCCAATCAACTGCCTGATTGCTCGGGCCGACAATGAGCCAATCACCATCTAGACAACGTCAACCTCCCACTTGTGACTTCAATCCCCTGACCCCCTTTCATTAGTGAGTTGACAGGCTTGTCAGGATGTTCACATTAAAAAGACAAAGAGGCATCTCAGTAGCAAGCTTGTCCAAAGCTATCCTATACATTCCTCCCTCCAGACAGATTATAACTTACCATGGCTGTTGTCCCCCATGTGAAAACGTGGTGGAAGTCCGCAGTCATCTATCAGATCTACCCTGCGTCCTTCTGTGATTCCAATGGCGACGGCATTGGTGATATCTGCGGTATTGCTTCCAAGCTTGATTATATCGCTAGCCTAGGTGCAGATACAATATGGCTCAGTCCTGTTTACGACAGTCCGCAAGTGGACATGGGATACGACATATCGAACTATGAAGCCATCTACCCGCCGTACGGGAATGTGGAAGAAATGGAACGCCTGATCAAAGAAACGCATTCCCGGGGGATGAGAATCATGATGGATCTCGTCATCAACCACACTTCTGATCAACATGCTTGGTTTAAAGAATCCAGGAGTAGCAGAGACAACCCCAAACGGGATTGGTACATCTGGCGACCAGCAAAGTACTCGCAGAGCGGCGAGCGGCTCCCACCCAATAACTGGCGCTGCAGTTTCGGGGGCGGCAGCGCATGGGAATGGGACGAGTCGACAAAGGAGTATTACCTCCACTTGTGGGCCAAGGAGCAGCCAGATTTGAACTGGGACAGCGCGGAAGCCAGGAAAGCAATCTATGCATCTGCCATGGTGTTTTGGCTGGACCGCGGAGTGGACGGGTTTCGAGTTGATACGGTCAATATGTACAGCAAACCAGTCGACTTCGCAGACGCGCCGGTCACTGACCCGGCAGCACCGTTCCAGCCTGCGGCCTCGCTATACTGCAATGGTCCAAGGATGCATGAGTACATCGGCGAGATGAATGACATTTTGACACGGTACGGAGCGATCACAGTGGGTGAGCTTCTAGACACTCCCGATGTGGCAAGGATATTGCCGTATGTGAGCGCTGCGGCTCAACAACTCAACATGGTCTTCCAGTTTGACGCAGTCGAGGTAGGCTGGGGCCGTACTCACAAATACGAGACGACTCCAAAGAATTATACACTCCCTCAATTCAAAGAGGCTATTGGGAAAGCACAGAGTCTTATACAGGGAACTGACGCCTGGACAACTGCTTTCCTGGAGAACCACGACCTTTCACGATCAGTCTCCAGGCTTACGGACGACCACCCCACCCTTCGGGAATCGGGAGCCAAAATGCTAGCTGTTCTCCAGACTTGCCTCAGTGGAACCCAGTATATTTATCAAGGGCAGGAAATTGGTGCAGTCAACGCCCCAAAGGAGACATACCCATTGGAGGACTACCTGGACATCAGTAGTCGTCTCTTCATCGACATGATCAAGGAACGCCACGGGGAGAGTAACAAGGACGAGCTCGACAGAGGATTTACTGCACTACAACATCTGGCCCGCGATCATTCACGGATACCCATGGCATGGAACAGTGCCGCCAAGTATGGCGGGTTTTCCGAGGAAGCTGAACGGGCTGGCTTGGATGTCAAAGAACCTTGGATGAAGCCGCATCCATTATTAACTGAAATCAACGTTGCTGCGCAAGTCAACAATTCAGAGAGCGTGTTTGGCTTTTGGCGCAAGATGTTGCTATTTAGGAAGCAGCATGAGGATATTCTGGTGTATGGAGACTATCTATGTCTTGAAAAGGACGACCCTGATGTCTACATTTTCATTAAGCAGGCGCAGGATCGAAAAAGAAGGATGATGGTTGTTCTTAACTTCAACTCGGAGGAGAAACACTGGGCTGTTCCAGAATCTGCAATGCGTTTCACTAATGGCGAGACTCCAAAAGTTATTCTTACAACCCACGAGAGCAAGGAGAGTTCTAAAAACTTAGCCCCATTTGAAGGCAGGGTCTATCTCATGCCAAATAATGTGCTGCATTCTAATCTATAGAGATTATTTCATCTAACTTGAAATCCCTATATTTAGAAATATAGAACGTCAAAATAGAGATTTTGAGTGCTGAAGAAAATGAAACGTGTTAAAGCATTACTTGCTCATCTCGCACGTTGCTTGACCTATGTGCTTTGTCTTTAATAAGTTTCCTGGATCTTTCTATCTCGGATAAATGCACTGATTACCGACGAAAGAAGACAGGCAGCAAGGCCAGATACTAGATGCTATTAGCTTTATTCAACTCTCAATTCCTCGTGAAGCCTTACTATATGTGGTCTTGAGTGATCCAACAAACGCACCAACCACAAGATTGCGCAGCTCTCCAGTCAGCTTTGATATGTTGTCAATATTAGAAGTTACTTTTTTAATAAGCTAGGCGTCAAGGTTAGCAATGGATGACTGTGAAATGTGAGACAAGTCCCTACCTCTTCTTTATTCGGAATGTCCACGACGGTATCCAGTCTTCGGGTGAAGAATGACTGAAGAAGCACATTAACTGTCGTAACAGCAGTGACTGTACCTAGGCTGGAGGCAAGGAAGAAACCACCCGTAGCCATTGCCACCTCTTGCTTCTCGAGATGCGACGACATAGTGACAAAAGAGGCGGACTGAGCTACACCCGTAGCAAATCCGCCAGCAATAACGTACAGGGACTCCCAGAAGTGAGTGTCGCCATTCCAGCGGGCCCAGATTAGGATATAGGAGGTGGCTCCAAGCAGCCCGACCAAGACCAGAATAATCTTGTGGCGATGCGTAGCCTGCAGCATCTTTCCCGACGCAAGGGCACCGATCGTGTTGGCAATCACAGCCGGGACAATGTGGGCACCGCTTTTCGCTGCAGACGCCCTCTGTGTGACCTGAAAGTACAAGGGCACAGAGAACATCATGCCGACCTGCGAGAAGACTTGTAGGTAGTCGACTAGGTATGACAGTGCCACGTTGCGCTTCGCCAGAATCCGCAGGTTGAAAATTGGCGAATTGGTACCGAAGATTTCGACAAATACAAACAGCTGGCCAAACGTAAGTACCGACACCAACAGAAGCCAGAACTGCGGGGTTCCAAGATGATCCTCAACTGTGTCGAGTAGCAGGATGAGGGACACAATAGTCTTGGTCAACAGCAGTGCCCCTTTAACATCAACCTTGGCCCACTTTTGGCGGAAAGAACTAGGCGAAAGAGATTCATCAGAGTTGTCTGTCTGCTTAGTATCGCTATATTTTTCGTCCTTCAAAGAAGTGAGGATGAGGGCGACTGAGAGTGCAAAGAAGGGAAGGCGACACCAGAAAAGCCAGTGCCAACCCATCGAGTCAGCGATGAAGCCGCCAATGGGCCCACCAATACTCCTCCCAAGCGTCGTGGCAAGGTTGATGTACGACCTGTATGTGGCAAACTTGCTCCTTGGAACCGAGTCGGTGATGATGATCGATGCCATGGTCATAACGCCAGCACCGCCAATGCCGCTGATGGCGCGGGAGACGATGATCTGTACGAGACTCTGACTCAGGCCGCAAAGAATGCATCCCACCGAGAGGACAGCATATGCAAACAGTAGCATATGTTTCCTGCCGAATATGTCGCTGAGCCTCCCGTAGAGAGGTTGCATCGAACATACACCTAGTGTGTACGATGTGGCAAGCCACCCGATGCCGCGAAGACTGCCCAGTTCCGACGCAATTTGTGGTGCGGCGGCAAAGATGAGTGTTGTATCGGCGTGGGAGAGCAATTCGCCTGCGTGATACGTTAGCAATAGCTGATCCTACATCGAAGGTTAGTGGAAAAAGAAGCGGCAGTGCTTACCGAGAAGGAGTATCACCATGACACTCTTCGTCAACTGAGTACCCTCGTCGGTAGCCCCGTCTTCACTATCCTGCCGACCTCCTAATAAAGGCGTCTCTTCATCTGTTGGATGAACAGCAACTTGAGCAGTCTTAGATGACGTATCATGTGTCACTCTAGAGACACTGTTTTCAAAGTCTTGCTCATCTGAACTCGAAGAACCATATGAAACTTGAGCATGAGACGCACTTCCGCCAGGCTTGAAGGGTCCAAACTGCATCATTGTTGTTGGTGTCTGTCTACCTAGTAGTTTCGGCTAGACAAAGACAGCACAAGATTCTGGTAGTCAAAACAAATGGGGTTGCTCAACAACGGATGGGCAGGAATGACTGAAACTTTAGCTAGAAACACTGCTCAAAATTCGATACAGGAAACAACAGTCGGCCCTAGAAAGGCTAGAAACAATACCCTGAGAAGATTATAGCCCTCTGGTGCTTTACGACTCCCCCACTAGAAGTCTCCGCTTTCGATAAGGGACTGGCTTCCGCATCCGACGGCAAGCTTCCGACAGCTTCAAGATCTTGCGTCACTTCCGTGATTGGGCTCTCTTTCCGACGGCAGGTCGTACTGCGGCTCGGGAATTCATTGTGTCGCTTGGCCGAGCCGCTTTGTTCTGTGCTTGGCCTGTCTCATGGGTGGTGAAGGTTGATCGGGACCGCTCTTACCACACAGAGCCACAGCACGCATCAAGTGAACGCTTAGCCGACACTTGGAGGTGGCCTAGACAGTCAGGATGTAATCTACACAGCGAAGTGCATCTCATGGGCTGCGGAAGTCAGTCCGCGCCCATCTGTTTGTAGTTTAAAACCCAAAGCAATTGAGGTGTTTTTTAAAAAAGGTATTTCGATGAGATTGGAGAACCTTCTTGGCGATTTAAGATATTCGTAAAGCGTGTCACACTTTAATTATTTGTAAGCTGGGAGCGTTATCTTGAGGGCATGTATAATTTGCAAAATAATTTCTCCAGTTGTCTATTGTGTATAAGATCTTTTTATAATTGTCATATTCGACGCCTAACCATCGTCTCCGTTGCCCGATGTCTTCTTGCCATTGCTCCCCATTACCACGTTGTGAATAGATTGAGCCACATACTTGACATTTGCATTTGTAAGACCGCAGACTGAGGCCCGACCCGAGGGAAGCATATAGATATGATATTTTGTTCGCAACACCTTTACCTCTTCCATGCTCAACCCCGTATAAGAGAACATGCCCACTTGATTCTTGACATGTGCCCAGTCACCAGGGGTACGTAGCCTTAGCAGCTCAGCATAAAGTGCATTTCGCATAGAGCTGATTCGACCACTCATAGTCATAAGATCAGCCTGCCACATGTCTTGAAGCTCTTGATTTTGAAAGATCTGATTTGCCACACGGCAGCCGAAGAGAGGAGCCATAGATACGGAGGCTCGATGGAGATCGACAAGCCGATTTTGTACGTGAATAGCAGTGGTGGGCGGGGAGCGAGTCGTGACGACGTGAAGCGCACCCACGCGCTCCCCATAAAGACCAAGATTCTTGGAGAAGGATTGGCATACGGCCATCTCGAGGTCGAGAAAGGCTGTGAAGTGTCTCACTGCCCAAGCGTCCCGATCCAAATCCCCTGACGCGAAGCCCTGATAGGCCGAATCAAAAATGACAAACAGCTTCTTCGCTTGACACAGGCGCGCAATCCTATCCCATTGCTCTTCTGTGGGATCTTGACCGGTAGGATTATGCGCACAGGCGTGGAGAAGGATTGCGTCGCCTTGTTGAGCACCATTCTCGAGAGTGTGCAACATTTGGCCAAAGTCAACAGCCCGGATCGAGTCGTTGTAGTAGGGATAGCAGCGCGTCGTGATGCGTGGCGCATTCACTTCCCAGATATCCTTATGATTGACCCAAGTCGGATCCGGAAGCCATATACTACTGCAACGGGTGTGCGTGGCCAAGAATAAGGCTATGAGGCTATTGGCCCCGGTTCCCGAGACAGTCTGGATAGAGGCGATCGATTCACTCATTTCATTCACAATACCATCCCCAAAAATGAGTCGCTTGGCAGCTTCGATAAACACACCACTACCTTGTAACGGCAAGTACTCATGGAAGGAAGATTCAACCTTCAATTGTTTTTTGGCCTGTAATCGCAGACATGTTAGTTAGACTATGCTTGGCACTGTAGGGAACGCTTCTGGATTTTGAGACTATACCTCCGCGACTGCGCTTAGCTGCCATGGTCGAGCCTGATCATCTCGATAAGCCCCTATTATCAAGTTGACTTTGGTAGGACTCGAATCGGCTTGGAACTCGGCCTCTAGTGCGAAAGGTCCCCCAGCGGCTGACGGCGGGACTGCAGACAACAGAAAATGGCTTTCGCCGTTGCCTTTTGAAGTAGTTAGATTCGCCATCTTCTATGAGATCTTTCCTATGGGAGCTCTTTTACTGCAGTTCCTTCGACATTCCTCATTATATTGGCGTGCAAGAGTCTTAGATATTACAAACGGACCAGTGCCGTCGGATACGGCGCCGGGCCGGGCTTGCACCTTCTACACTCGCTTGTTGACCCGCTGCAAAACGTAATAGGATAAGTATATCAGCTTGTAAATCATGGGAGGTTGGATAAGTATCATTCAATAAAGTCAGTTTCCTCTCTAAGAGGACGAGGGGTATTTAACATACATTGAAACGCATTTATTTGCCTTATAAAAGCTGGACAAGTATGTACGGGCGAAAGCTAACCGTTGCAACTTTTTGATTATAAGCAAGGCTATCCTGTCTAGCCTCTTCCATTGCTGTTCTCTTTTCTCAAGCTCTATATTGTAATATAAGTGAAAAGAAATAAGGTGTTAAGTAATGATTACAAACTAAGTATTGTCTGGTAGGGGACTATGAGATGATCGTGTACCTGTGGCCACAAGCTGTAACTAATCAATTATATGGGTTATTTTGTAGTTTTTTATTTCAAGAGCATTTTTAGTGATAGCGACATGTTATTATTTGACATCGGAAAGTTATAATATCAGAGTTCAATATAGTGAATACCGACAACGTTCCCGTGGCCTTTAGCACGAGCAAATGCTTGGAAGTAACTGTAATTGCGGTAGACGCTGTTGGGATTTTTCAGTGACTCTCTGAAACCGAGATTTGACGACTAGCATTTCCACATCAGTTGATCATGCATATAAATCTCGATGTGGAATCAAAGAGAGTCGTGAAAGAGAGACGTGCTTGATACCAGAATCATCAAAATTATTCCAGGGCTTGAGTAAACAAGAGCGAATGCTACGTATGCAAAATGCGCCCTTCGGAACATTCTAGCACAAATCCTTATATCGATGCGACCAATATCAGGCGTGGACGACCGATCCTTTCGGTAAGTCAAAAATCTTTCCCGGATTCATTATCCATCTAAGAATAGCCAGTTAACCCATGCATGCCAGTTCTTTATAGTTCACACCACTGTAATCTGGATATGAAAGATATCTTTCAAATTGTTTTGCTTACCTCGGGTCAACTGCAGTTTTCAATTGCTTCATAACTTCGATTGTGCTCGGACCGAGCTCATCCATCAAGCATTGCTTCACGTGTTGTTTAGTTCAAGAGAAGACATGGATTGGGAACGAGACAGAAAAACCTCACCTTTTTCCCCATTCCGATAGCGTGCTCGCCAGAAACCGTACCTTCCATTTCCAAAGCACGAGCTATCATCATTTGGACCGCATGTTTTACAGCGGCACTTTGTGCGGGGTCTTTTGGATCATACATCAACGCTTCGTGGAAGTTGCCATCGCCAACGTGGCCAACTATGCTGGTGAAAACCCCAAGTTTCTCTCCATCTTTCTTGGACACTTCGATGATCTCGGCAAGTCGGGAGATCGGGACAGCGACGTCTGTAGACCAGATGGCGTGGCCTTCGGGCTTGATCGAGGTCATAGTCCAGAGAGCTTCTTTCCTCGCCGCCCAAAGCTTAGCCTCCTCATCTTTTGTCTTGGCGAAAACAAACTTTGTGTTGTCGTCTTGTTCAATCAACTCTTTCACGCGGCGAATGTCAGACTGGATGCCCTCTTTGGAGTGGCTCGAGAATTTGAGAAAGAGGGAAGGTGCCTCATCCCAGTTCATCTTTCGAACTTGCTCGCTTCCGTGGCGGTTGACCATACGCATTTGAACCTCGTCCATAAGCTCCATGGCTGCAAGTTGGATGCCGGAACGAATGATCGTGGAGGCTGCCGATGCTGCCGAGAATATGGTGGGGAACGTGACGACGGCGACGCTCGTCTCGTTGGGAACCACAGCGAGTTTAAGGGTTATCTCAGTAATAATACCTAGCGTTCCCTCTGCACCGACAAAGAGGGAAGTCAAATTGTAGCCAGCAGACGTTTTCCGTGGCCTCTGCCTAGTTTTGATAACTCGGCCATCAGCGAGGACCACCGTGACGTTGGTTACCCAGTCTTTCATGGTTCCGTATCGAAACGCATTTGTACCGCTGCAGTTTGTAGACACCATGCCCCCGACTGTTGCTGTAGGGGAGGGGTCCAGAGGGAGGAAAAGCTTCTCCTTCTCTATTTCCTTGTTTAGGTCCACCCAATTCACTCCAGGCTGCACCACGACATCCATGTCTTGTGGATGGAAGCTGAGAATGTTGTCCATGTGTGTCACGTCGACGACTATGCCACTGTAGGGTGAAGAGAAGTTTCCTTCTACAGAGGACCCGGCCCCATATGGGACTGTCTCACGACAACGCATTAGATACGGGGTACCTGGCTAGGCCTGGGTAGTGATGGCGACGTACCTATAGGGACGCGGAGCTTATGACAGATTTCTGTCGCTTTCACCACGTCGTCAGTGCTTCTAGGATACACCACGGCTACGGCTCGCGACGTTGAGTTGATACTAGACCAGTCTGAGAATCCATGGTTCTCGATGTCGTCTTCGTCATAGCTCACCGCGTCTTCTCCGAGCAGGGCCTCGATCTCTCTGACAGCCTATAATAAAGTCATTTTATGTTCAAGAATTGTAGCTAGTGCGATATTGGGCGGAAAAGGAACTTACGATAAGCATGTTTTGTCTGCTCGCATAGTGAATTATCGGTGCACGCTCCTCACGACCTTGACCTTGACCAAGAGCAACTCCGCCGCCGAACACTGCAATTAGCAAAGCTACAACCACGGAGGGATGCGCGCGGATAGCTTGTCTCTGGGCAGTCGCAACCGTTGTAAGGCTCCTGGCCGCAGTAAGCGGATGCCTTGAGAAAAGTGTCGGGCGAGTGCGAGACAAGGCTAGGCATTGTTGAACAAGTCGCCTGCCGTAACGAGCTGGGGGTGTAGGCAACATTTCGTCTACAGAAACTTGTTTGTATGCAAGCAGAGCTCGTCATGGACAATTGGAGCCACTGAGACTGGTGGGTGGGCTGGGCCGAGGCTGAAGAATTCGCGTCTTTGACGGTGTTGCCCTTCATCCTCACACTGGCTTGTCAATGTATTGTGGCTTATCTATCCGTCGGATGTGATCCGGATGTGATCCGTGTTTGCATAAGCGTGCCGCAGGTTCATGCAGGGACCATGACAGATAGATCACTCCATGATACTTGTTCTGGCTGAGCAAGCCAACAATATGTGACAAGTCAACCAATCCATTTGAATTTGATGCGCTTGTGCCACTTAGATTGAGTTGTGACGATGGCAATCTTCGCATTGGTGAGTATGGGATAACAATTATTCCTGTGTCGACTTGTGCCAGTTCCACGCCAATGCATAGTGAACTACCTACCCTATAACTAGGTACGTAGACACCGCAATAAAAAGGGTGTACCTTGCGTATCTTAGACAGTATATAGCTAGCTATATCTATATTATACCAGTAGCTGTGTATATTCTCTGATATATAGAGAATCTATGACATCGTTTAAACACAACATTGCATAATCTTCTAGCTGAATGTGTTAATGTTATTGAACAAAACATAAGGAATCGACACTCTCGTATACTCTGGTCCCGGTACCTAGGAACTTAAATGCTCCCCACACCACCCCGCAATAACTTATCTTACAAGCCTGGTTTGAGGTCACGTGGTAACATCGCTTATCTTAAAAGAGGAGGGAGGGAACATGATGAATGCGACGGGATTGTATGTGTAGTCGTACTTTGAAATGGCGGCAATTGTCTTACATAGCTGCGTCGCTGTAAAAGATTCAACTGCTGAGCTGCCTTGACCACTTCCCAACCCGACCATGGATGCAATCAGCCCTCAGACTCAGAGACCGCTCAAACGTACGCGGCAGGCCTGTGAACCTTGCCGGCAAGTATCCTCAGATCAGTTGCATGTCGTTCCTCGCTCCTCTGCTCATCCTAGCTGATTGATGCCGTGATAGCCGCAAAAAGTCCAAGTGCTCGGGACAGCGCCCTGTCTGCTCGACGTGCGAGAGACTACAAGTGAGATGCTCCTACGCCATGGAGCCCCGATTTGGTTCGACAGGTGATGCGGCATTGGATTCCACGTTTCAGGACTGTTTTAGGGATTCGATGCCTAGCACCTGGCCGCATCAGAGCCAAAGACAGCCGCCTCTACAGCTGGTACGTCCACTTCAAGTACTCTCCAGCACATTACATTGTTCAAACCCTGTGTCACGATGGCTGATTGAGGCTATTCCACTCCAATAGCAGGAACGCCTCGAATCGCTAGAATCTACCTTAGCCGAGGTCGTTGAGGGTTTAAGAGATCATCGTGCTGGGTCCGCATCGTGGAGCTCTCGGTCTACATGGAAAGATAAACGCCGTCGTCGACGCAGTTCCAATAGCTCTATGCGCAACACTGCATCGGGGGTGAGCGTGTCAACAGCTGCCTCTCCATCAAGCGCTGGTGGTGCCACATCTACCATCTCCTCTCCAAACGATCCTCGTGTCCCATGGGAGTCAGCAGAGACCATAGCAGAGCTGTACTTGACGTATTGTGACTGCCAGCCGTTGCCTCTCTTTCACTGCCCAGACTTTGTGTCGACCTTTGCAAACAGGGATACGCAAGTCGTCTACGCCGTCTTTGCCCTTGTTGCAAGGTTCTCGGATAGAGCCAAGAGCACGCAACTGCTTATAGAAGACCAGCGGCAAGCGTTCGCTGACGCAGCTCATCGAAGCGTCATGGCTCAAATAGCATCGGGACGCGTTGAGCTCTCAACATTGCAAACCCTGTGCTTGCTCACCCTCAATGGCTTTCAAAGTAAGTCTAAAAAAAATAATCGGCCGATTCTTGGACCCTGATATTGCCGTAGGATTGCTACTGACATGATTTCTCACCTCTAGATGGCGAGATAGCTCTATCACGAGTACACCGCTCGCTGGTTATGACATTGGTGCACTCCGCCCGTTTGCACCAGGAATCTGTCCATCAAGGCGACGAGCGCATCATAGATGAGCGGCGACGGTGCTACTGGAGTGTCATTCTGTTGCAGCAACTGCTGGGGGAGAGTGTGTCCGGTGTAGGGAGTCAGCTCTCGCAGGCCACGATGCATTCGCCACAATTCCCTACTAGTGCTACAACTCCGTCTACAAGGAATGTAACAGAAGGTGAACAATGTCAATCTACTTCCCCGTCTACCAAGGAACAAGAGGGTATTCTCTACGTTATCCTGAAGCTTAGTGAGGTGTGGTCTCAAGTTCAAGAGTATACCCGAAGCCGAGGCGCGTCTGGAAATGGCATGCCACCATGGTCTCCTCAGTCGGCATACTCAAAGACGGTCGAGTCCATTATGAATCTCGGGCCGCAACTACCGTCCATGCATAGATACCGGTTCATCCGCATATCCAGAATATCAGCGCAGGATCTTGAAGAGTCTCGCGATTATTGGGCTCCGTGGCTTCTCAGCCGTCTTATTTATCATACTTCCATCTGCATACTCAACCACCCAATTCTGATCATGCTTCAAATACAAGGGCAGCATCATGTATCGGAACTTTTCCTCCAACACACCAGCTTTCAACGGGATCACCACACTTCGTGGGTCGTTCACTTCATCAAGTTCCTACAGTCAAGGCGCTTCTACGTGTCAGATCCTATGTTTGCTTACTGTGCTGCAGTAGTGGCGACAATCGAGCTGTACCAGAGCTTTGTTGGCGACGACCAGGGGACCAAGACACAAAGAGCACAGGAAAGCAAGCAAAATTACGAAGAGTGTCTCGCTTTCATCCTCAGCTTACACGGAAGATGGCCATCTTTGGTGCGAATAGTAAGTTAACATCCATGACTCTCTACGGGACCACTCCTGCGACTGATGTCAATTTCAAGGCTGATAGCCTCGAACGCCTCGGTCAAGACATGGCAGTGTTGTATGAAAACAACATGGCCAAGTCTGACGAGAATATCAACATAGACATTTCTAGCTTCTTCTCAATCCTTGACCTTTCAAGATTCTGTGCCCCCGACGGAAGTGTCGATGTTCCACAATCTGTCTTCGGACCAACGTTGGACCCCTGCCCTGCCCCTGAAACACCAAGAAGCGCCAACTTACAACGGCTGCCTCGCATCACTGAGATGGATTCTTCTGAGTCTACGGCAGTTGAACAAAGCGGGATCGCTAGCCATGTAAGTGGCCATAACAAATGTATGCATTTAGCTCGCTAACATCTTATCCTCCTGCGTAGTTATTAAGTACAGACCAAGGCATTTTCCTCCCTGCAGACCAGTTCTTCGACGGCCTCCAAGGCGTAAGCATGGGTTTGTGGGATGATGGGTTAGATGAGGCTACTACCGCTGCGCTTGACTTGAACGCTGTAGAATTCTGAATTAGGCCCAATCTGACCAGCTAAGATCCCCTCGGTATTGTTTTGCAGTCTGAGGACCTTCCGACGATATTATGTACCCCGGTTCGCACCTGGAGAACGCTACCTTGGCTTGGGCTTGGTAGAATGTGTCGAATTTCGAGTCAAGAGCATCGTCCAGGTTGCCAACATCCCCATCGGGATGGAGCACCTTCCACGGCTTCCTGCATGTCTCAACCTTGCAAGACTTCAAAACCATCAAAAGAGCGTCGAGGCGAGTGATCATTCTAAGGAGTGAGGACGGAGGCATATCCGAAAGAGACCCAGGATGTATATTTACCATCTGATGCGGATCGTTCTGGAAAGAGTAAAAGTCAATACGTATGCTCGTATTATTGATTCATGAATTTGGCCATAAAGAACTACTCACTTTGAGGTTGTATAGTTCGTGTTCATTGTTGCACCAAACCGCATAGTAAAGATCATGTGCTCTACTATGAATCCGCAGAGCCTTGTATGTATTATTAGACATAATAATTTGACCATTACCATCTGCAAGTAGCCACACATGTCAGTTTTCATGAAACCACAGGCGAGCAAAGGTAGCGAGTCATCGCTATACAGTCAGTTACTCACCGAATCCTCCGGCCTCGCCTTCTGCTATCGCGGTGCCCCAGTACTCGACTGCGATGTGTTCCTGCTGGTCATCTTTCAGCTCGTAAGAATGGCCAGGCACAACGCTCATGATACTAGGCAACGGCGAGCCATCGAAATCTTGGCGAAGCTCGATGCCCGCAATGTTGAATATAGTTGGTGCAATGTCAATGTGCGCCGTGACCGCGTTCTCGACGGCTCCCTCGCGGATCCCAGGTCCCCTAATGAAGAGTGGCACACGTATGTCCTCCTCAAAACCACATTCTTTCCCGGGGGGCAACCTGTGCTGGCCAATATGATAGCCATTGTCTGACGTAAAAACGATGTATGTCTCGTCGAGGACGCCGGCATCATCGAGCTGTAAAATGACCTTCTCAATGAGTTCGTCGACTCCTTGAAGGGCCCGAAGGCGTTGGCGGTAGAAGTGGTCAAGATAACGGACCATGGTTTCGTTGAACTGTGGTAGATTAGCTACCCAGCTCACGCCGCTTGACTTGTCTGGGTTGAAGTTTGCGGTACGTGGGACCTCGGCCTCCTGAAATAGGTGACGATGTCTGTTGAGGGGAATGGGTTCTGTCATGACTGGGTCACCACCATTATTTGTGTCAATATTAGAATGCGGGGCTATAGGGGCGATTGCTACGAAAAAGGGCTTGCCCGAGCCTATTGCTGCATCAATGAGCTCAGAGGCATGATTTTGGATTAGCTCAGTGGTGTGTTGTCCGTGGAACTGAGTTGGGGGATCATGATTCTTCTGATAGATCGGGTTCAAATATGAATATGTTCCGGGATCGAGGAGGAAGTTGCTGCCGTCCCAACCTTTAAGGAATGGCGAGTGGTAGTTCCAGACTGTATGCGAGTTGAACATCTTTCCAGTGTAGTATGTTGCATATCCGGCCTCTTGAAGCCAGACTGGCAAATAAGCGTCATTCAAGCCTTGAGAAATGAATTTGGGAAAACCGCCTAAAAAGGATTGAGCCCTCGTTAGACTTTCCCGCTCGACATGCAAACTCGGATAATGAGACGTACTTACCATATGGCGGATCTACGTCTGTGACGTTCGTGTTGTGCGGCTGCTTGCCTGTCCACAACGACACCCTAGACGGACAACAGATGGCCGTCGTGGTGAAATGATTGGCAAAGTGTGTACCCTTATCGATGATATGCTGCTTCAACCTCGGCATGTAAGATATGGATTCCATCGTCGCATCTTGATCGTCGGACATAATTAAGACGACATTTTTTCTCCCTCTCATCCACTGCTCTAGGTTGTCTCGGCCAAGTTGCCCGGGATTAAGAACGTGTTGCTCAGTAACCCAGTCTGATGCCGCCGCCGACAGCATGTTGTTGGCCAAGATGGCCATAAAAGCCGCATTGATCAACCTAGCGAAGAACATGTTGGACTGCGTTGGTGTTTTTGCACTCTGGAGTGCATCACACAACTATCAGTGCCGAGCTCGAGTGGAGGAGACACTTTGATTTGATGCTGCTGTGAAACCGTCGTAGCACTGCAGACTGTCCCATGCCTCAGCGTGTAGATAGTGGCCTTGCCAGTCTGCATAGCTGTCCGTTTAGTCTGCTGCATGGGTGGACCCGGCGTTGCCTTGGGGAATATCCCATCCGGCGGAAGCATAACAATTTACCGTCGGATGACCGGACCGCTTCCGGGCCAAAGTGGGTTGGGATTTGAGGGTTTGTCTCGATCCAAGAGACGGGGCCTGATTATAGAGTACCTTTAGACAAAGAACCCTTCGTTTATGCCTTCTGAATCTTCTCAAGTAGTGCCTTTCAACGCACCATCCTCACAATTCTTGTAAATTCTCATCTGTCAATTCTTGCCATTCGGAAAAAGTCAAGAAAATGAGCCTTTTCAAGAACAAACTCGCGGTTGTCGCCGCTCTGGTTGGCTCTTGCTACGCCGACTGGCAGTACGCTTCCCGCCCGGATCTCGCTCCTCCCAAATTGAATATTACAATTCCTGCGGCGGATGATGTGTCTCCAGGCTACATCTTCGTGGGTCCCTACCCTGGCTTTGACGGTGTTCGTGCAGGGCCTGAACAAGCTGCTGCCTACATTTTCGCCAACGATGGCGATCTGGTTTGGTCGAGTCTGGGTTACTATGCTGGCTGGGTGGGAAACTTCCAGGCCGTGCAGTACCAAGGAAAGCCGGTGTTGCAAGCTTTTCAAGGCTATCTCGATCCTTTCCACGGCCATGGTTACGGTACACCACTGTTGTTGGATGACCATTATCGGCCCGTCGCTCTCGTGGAAAGTCTCAACCATCGCCTCATCTCGATACATGAATTCAAGATTGTCAACGAAAAGACTGCCTTGGTCGAGATTTACCAACCAACCGCAATTGACTTGACTCCATACGGCGGGACTGGAGAGGAAAATTGGATTGCGGACGGCATTTTTCAAGAGTTCGACATTGCCACTGGTAAACTGATTTTTGAGGGACACACTCTGGACTGGGCATCACCTGCTGGTAAGTTTTTCTTTGCCGATGTCCAATATATGCCGCCTCTAACAAGCATTCAACAGACAGCGTCATCCCGATTCGTTCCGGGCGGGCGTTTACTGGAGTAAATGCTAGTGACGCCTGGGACTATTTCCACATCAACAGCGTAGATAAAAACAACGATGGGGACTATCTCATCTCGGGCCGCCACATGAGTGCATTATACAAAGTCAACGGCTCAGATGGCTCTCTCATCTGGCAGTTAGGTGGCCACAAGTCGACATTTGACCTCCCCAAAGGACTGGACTTTGGTTACCAACATGATGCCCGCTTCCTCAACAGCTCCAGCGACGGCATGATCGAGACAATTTCATTTTTTGACAACTCGGCTCGTTCAGACCGTCAGAGAGCGGGCGGTGTTGACCGCCTCCACCCTCACTCACGCGCTCGGATCGTTCAGCTCAACAACACGGACAACACGGCCAAGGAGGTGAAGACGTTCACACCCCCGGATATGCTCTCTGTTCCCTCCCAGGGTAATGTCCAGGTACTCCAAAATGAAAACGTCTTTGTCAACTGGGGCCAGGAAGGTGCTGTGACCGAGTTTCGTCCTGATGGGACACCCATTTTCCACGCCTACCTCGACTCTGGCGCTCTAGCACCGGGTGTTCAAAGCTATCGCGGCTTCCGTTACGAGTGGACAGGTTTCTCATCTGAGACGCCCGCTATAGTTGCCCTTACGGAGAACAAGGACACGACGATTTACGTCAGCTGGAATGGCGACACGGTTACCAAAGCTTGGCAATTTTATTACCAATGTGTTGGAGGAGCTAATTCCCGGGTCCTCGGGGCCCTATCCCTGGGGGAGGTTGACAGGAAGTCGTTTGAGACAAAACTAACAGTACCTAGTCATAAGATACAGTGCAGTGGCGAAGGTAGCGGTGTGTACGCAAAGGCCCTTGACAAATCTGGCAACGTCCTTTCAACCAGTACTGTCGTGGACATTCGGGGTGTGGCGGGGATCCCAAAGCCCCTTGATGACACACAAGACAATTCAGTCGACCAAATCGCTCTATTTACATCTGAACTATAAGGTGTAGAATTCTCTTTCTAATATGTTGGTTTCCAAGTTGTGTAATGCACTCCTTCGTCTCATAAGGACAAATCGGCATCCTCTAGATATAGACATCATATCTATCATTCAATGTGACTTTAAAGCCATTACTATCATGAGTTTTCTATGAACAACTGGCATGTTCATTTATCTTTAATCAAAGAACTAACTTCTTAAACTCGACTAAGTATAAATGTTATAAGAGTAACCAGTAAGGTCGGTTTGTAGGTCGATAGTAGTCCCTTGCGGCTGGTCTATCATGAGCTCGTTTAGAATACCTAGTCGGATGCAGAATCGGGAAAAGATCCGTTTCCGGTATGCAAGGAATACAGGGGAATACACAGTGTGCCTGTGTTATCGCAAGTTGGTCTAAATTCCACGGTTCCGGAGTCTAAGCCGTCGGGTGCGGACCGGAGCAATCTTGGCTATCTATCATTACGCCACCCACTGTGCGGGGTGATAAAAAGTTGCAACTAGGGCATAGATAGCGGATTAAGCGTTCCCCAGATTCTTGCCAGCCCTTGTGGACCACGTTCGAACATAAATATCGTCGACAGGTTTGCTTTCTTCCAGGTCTACTACTCCAACGACTCTTCATCACGTATTCAATACGCACCAATTATTGATCATGACTCAAAACACCGATATCGAGTTGGTCAAGACCACTAAAGACAACGACACGGGAAAGCCGGAAATGGAGATTCGAGAGGGAGAGGTGATTCTACAGGATGGTCAGATCGCCGACTTTCAGTACCAACTCACCCCTGAAGATGATGCCCGCATCCGTCGAAGGATTGATTACTGGTGAGTTTACAGCCGAAAGGGTTCTTCCAATTGGCATAGGCACAAAACTAAAGAGCAGAGTTCTCTAGTCTTATCCCCATCATGACCGTTACCTATTGCCTCCAATTTATCGACAAAAATACATTAGTAGATGCTGCTGTTCTCGGTATGACCCAAGATTTACGTGCTACAGGCAATGAATATTCGTGGGCGGGCAGCATCTTCTATATCGGCTATCTTGTTGCTTGTTACCCACTCGCTTTCCTCATGGTAAAGCTTCCCCTTGGAAAGGTCCTCGCGGCCACAATGTAAGTTCATCCACTGCTTTATTCTGACAATCTCTTTGTTACTGACTGGCGGAAAAGGGTCGGCTGGGCCATAGTACTCCTTTGCACAGCTGCACTTGAGAACGCTGCGGGCCTTCTTGCCGTGAGGTTCTTTCTCGGCGCCACCGAGTCGGCTATATCACCGGGCTTCAACATGGTGACGGCCATGTGGTACAAGCGCAGTGAGCAAACCTCTCGCATTGGCGTGTGGTTCCTAGGCAACTCGATTGGCGGGTTCGTCGGCAGCATAATCTTCTACGGCATGGGGCATCTGAAGTCCTTCTCTTCATGGAGGGTAAGTGTATGCCCGCTCTCGCCTCGTATTTACTCTAACGTCTACAGGCGGGCTTCCTTGTTGTCGGAAGCATCAACCTGCTCTGGGGATTGTCAATGGTGTACATTTTCCCGGATACGCCCATGACATCCCGCTTTTTGAACAAGCAGGACCGGAAAAGGGCGATCGCCCGTGTCCAAGAGAACAAGACCGGCATAAAGAACAACAAATTCAAGATTGACCAGGCTCTTATTAGCTTAAAGGACCCTTTGTGTTTATTGATCTTTCTGCTTCAAGTCACTGCCGCTATCCCCAATGGAGGCATCACCAATGCAAGTCGAAGATCTCTTCAGATCAATCTTATTACGTCGTACTAACTGTCAATATAGTTCAGTAGCCTCATTATCAAGGGAATCGGTTTTGGAACGCTTGAAACCATTCTGCTCAAGATGGCCACATATGGGTTCCAGGTGATTTTCATTGGAATGGGTATCGTCGGTTGTCAGTACATGAAGAATGCCAGAATACTGTGGATGTGCATTTTCAACTTGATCTGCATAGCAGGCGGGTTCATGGTTCGTTTTCTACCCGTAGAGAAGCTGTGGCCGAGGTTCTTTGGAGTTTGTCTTATGATGTCATTTGCGGCTGGTGTTCCTATGAAGATGTCTTTGGTATCGTCAAACGTTGGCGGTTTCACTAGGAAGGCTACGGTAAACGCGGTGGCAAGTACTGATGATATTTCTTTCTGTCTTGAAGCGGCACACGACTAACATACGTGTTCATTTTAGGCATTTATCGGATATTGTGTTGGTAATATGATAGGACCACAGATGTTTAGTGCACGGGAGGCACCTACATATCCCTCCGGATTTGTCGGAATGATAGGTTGTTGGGCAGCCGTTTTTGTTGAAGCGCTTATCCTACTGTTTTACTTGAAACGAGAAAACCGAAGACGCGATAAATTACAAGCTCGAGATATTGGAACTCCTTCAGACTCTCAGGATGACATGGACAATTTCTCGGATAAGACGGACTTGGAGAATCTCAGCTTCCGCTATATCTATTAAGGCTAGGTAGTTAGGAAATGTACTGCCCAATATGGGCCGTCAACTAACTAATAAACACTGCAGGTCAACAACAACGTGTTTCCGGGAATGTAGTTTGCAAGTTTCGAAGGCGTCCAGAGAGGATATAAATTTAACAGGGGGTTCCCATACCTTCTCCGCTGTGTTGATAGTTGCTCTTTCCAGAAGCCTATCTCAACCTTGACTCACTCATTTATGTAAAGTTACGCAATCAACTCCTGGGTTTGACTTTGTTCCTATAACAATAGAAAGAGCCCTTGGGAAACTATGGGAGCTTTCGAGACTGGATTAAGGGATTGGATGAGTGCGGCAGTGCGACTGAGCCATCAAGCATGTATCGATGCTCAATTTTGATATTTGTTAAACGAGAACTTTACTATGCTGAAGGGTTGGCATATACCCATTTTACAGGGCTGCAAAAGAGCATTTCCAAATTGATTTGTACCTGTCACTGTGCCTACCTCTATATAATTCCGTTCGTTATAGAAAGAAAGAAGAAATAGAGAAAAGGAAGAACAGCACGAGCACCTACAAAAAAAAGGAAGTCTTGACTAGAGATATAATAATACTCACGCATCTTCATAAAAGGGTATAAGCTATTAATGCCTAAGATTAGATAATTTTATTCGCTTATTGCAGGAGCACACTATGGGTGAACTTGAAACATCAATTTTGTAAATGTATCATTGAATACAAAGATGCTGCGCTGCCTGTTTGGCATGAGTGTTATACTTCGTGCAGTATTGAGTTGCTGGAGTCTTTGAATTATTCCAAATCTAATTTATATCGCTCGAATATCTAAGTCCTTATACACTACGACTACCATAGTCTCTCTGAATCATGCTCGTGCAGATACGATGCTCAACTAAGACCCATATAGCACCATCTAGTAATAATCAAAATATGGTTTAAACATGGACTCTGTAGCTACCTGAGACTAATTGTGTATGGCAATGCTTCCTTAAGAGGAATGGCATTTTGGAGTCAGGTGATCCGACAAGTACTGAGTGCCGTCACGTGGCGCTCCACCTTCTTGACCCAGTACATGTAACTTGGAGCATTCCATTGGTTTGAGGCAAATTTATACCTTGTTTAATATTTTTAATCGGCAAGAGAAAACTTCTATGTAACCATGGCGCATAAAGAAGTACCGAGTGGTAATAAGTCGTTTCCAAATCGGGGAGTAAAGCACAGACGATTGAAAGTCGCTGTGGCTTGTGACGCATGTCGAGCACGCAAGGTCAAATGCGACAGCATCAAGCCAGGTGGGTCAGATCACGGCAGCATCAAAACATAACATAGCCATTAAATTATATTTAAAATTGTTCTAGTGTGCGGCTCATGCCAGAAGCGTTTCGCAACCGATTGCGTGTACAGCGGCTCAAAAGAAGTCACTGACAGTAGCCTAGAAGGGCAACACCTCAAAGACCCTCTACTACACAAGACACCAGTTCCTCAGGACACTCCCCAACACTATCAAACCAATCGTCTACTCGGCGGCGTCTCTCGTACAGACTCATTGATGCCTGGGGAAAGGCAGTTCTCAGATCCATCTTCTGCAATTCGCAGGTCGCCTGAAACAGAAAATCGTTATCCAAGCACAGGGTCACCTGGTTGGCCGCAACATTTGAGAGGAAAGAGTGAAGAACTTTGTGGAGCGGATTCAATGAACGGAGTTACTGGAGACCCAACACAGACTTGTGAAATTTTCGGAAGCAGCAATGCAGGTTCGTTCATGCGACAAGTGCAAGCTGCAGTGGATGCCAGCCCCGACGCATCTCAACCTCCAGTCACGACTACGGAGAAGCTCCCACTGAGTATTCAATCAGCTCAACAACTATTTGATGATCCGGACCTCATGTTCCTTCCTCCCAAGGGCTTAGCTGATGGCTTGATGCTTTCCTACTGGGACAACCATTGGCAGTTGTATCCAATCATACCGCGGCGCGAGATTGAGGCAATATATGAGAGTTTATGGGGATCGACCACTATGGAACACTTGCATCTGGCTCACGTCAGTCTCATCAGCATTTGTTTTGCACTTGGCTGCCAATACTGCCAGATTTTACAGCCAGACAAACGAATAGCCACAGGAAGTCATTTCTTTGCTCGCGCAAATCGCCTACATAAAAAATTAGAAGAAGGTCCGTCGCTCGAAAAGGTCCAATATCTGCTTCTTTCTGGAATATATTTGCAGAGCACCGATAAAGTATTCCAGTGCTGGATGACGGTTGGACAAGCGATCCGCATGGCACAGAGTTTAGGACTCCATCTTTCTCAGCCTCAACCGAGTTCAGGAACGATAATCCAAAGCGAGTACAGGCGGAGAACATGGCATGGTTGTGTTTGGTTAGACCGGTAAGTCTGTTGGCCAATGGGCGCTTTGTTGCTTCTCCCATGGCCCCGAAGAATTGGCCAGTTATTGCTAACTCGCATGCAGTGTTCTTTCAGCGACATTTGGGCGGCCTGGACTCATTGCAGGGTTCCTTTCCGAGTCCGTACCGTTGCCATCGATGGTTGGTGATGATGATGATTTGAACGGTAATAACGGAACTCTATCTGGCCGCTCTCATGATTCGCATCTCAGATTCTTTGTCGAGGCAATAAAGTTATATAGGATACTAGGCGAAATCCTGGCACGCCTTTATCTTATTTCGATGAGCAACGATAAATTCCAAAGCAATCTAACTCACATTGTTGAAATTGATGACCAATTACAGTCCTGGCAGGAATCGCTTCCCCAACATCTACGAGATCACTCTGTCGCAGAAAACGATGCTATATTGAAAAGACAGTCAATCGTTTTGAGAATCCGGTTTGTCCCTCCTATAAGTGAATCATTAAATATTGTGATTCACGTATACCTTTCAACTAAACTGAGACCAATACAGTTTCTTACACGTTCGAACGTTGCTTTTCCGTCCAACACTAATACATTATTGCCAATTGGCCAATCTTGACCACACCCCTGACACAAGCCTTGCCCAATGTCTGATCACACAGTGCTCACAGTTGTGTTTCCGAACCGCCCGCGAAGTGATTAACATATTCCAATGCAACTTGGACGCGGAGACGTTGGGTGGGCCATTGCCGTGCTGGTGGTACTCGGTGCTCTGTAGGTTGCTGGTTTAGTTGAATGGCAGCGTGATGTGGCTTTCGCTAATTCACTAAGACTTATACACCGCGGCGACTGTTGTATTCGTCGAGCGCTACTTAGAGAAGAAGAGCGGCTTGACGACTGAATCGTCAGCTAGTCTTGCATGGGATGCTGCGCTTTGTGTGTTGCGATCTTACGGTATCCTTGGGGCCTCGGCAAAAAAGTGCGTGTCTGCTCTCGAGTATCTCTCTGAGAAACTACCAGCCGAGAAAGAAACCATGGGCGCTGAAATGCCTCAAGATCACTTGGCTGAAAACATGAGTGCGCTTTGGGAGATGCCAGATCTATTTAGTGGCAATGTAGACCTAACTGACTCGGCACTGTTGCCATTTGACTTGGGGGGAATGACTTGGTTAGATTCTCTTTGAACCAAGTCTTTGACCTAAGGAGAATTGATAACTTTGATACCATCCATTGAGTTTCTTGTTTCCTAGACTTCATCCTACATTAGCCATTTTACAACAACCAGGTCTTAAATCGTAAAATAATCGAGACCCAGCAAGATTTCTTGATAGAAATACAAGCGAGACTCACCACGTAGCTCGAGATATCGAATCGGAAGAGTTATCTTGTATGCACCTTTCCAGTTCATTGTTAGACTAAGGTATTGAAATGAGGCCTGTTGGAAAGCACATCAAAGAAGAGAAGGCAGGCAGTAAGAGCAACCTTAGATGTTGAGTTCATAGGTTCATAGCATGATAATTATGAAAGATTTAATGTTTATATTGATTAAATTTAATCTATAAGTAATTGGTTAATTAATCTCTAAGCAACAGTTAAAGGTAAAGTCTATAGTACAATCTAGAAGTTCAAGTAGATTTAGTAGATTAAGATTATGATGAGGGAAAAAGTCTATATTTTGGATTAATGATAGTACTTAAATCGTGATATCTATCCTGTTTATCACCTATCTATTCCTTCTTTGCTTGGGACTCATACCCCGCCTCACTTCACAATCTCCAAAATGTCCCGTCCACACCGCCGCTGGCCACTTTCCCGGCCAACCACCCAACTATTGAGAACAGTCTTGTCTCCTTCCCGTTTGAACACGCAAGACTGGAAGATGCCACAAGATATCTACTCTCGGGCAATGGTATGTTTGCTGTTCTTTCGGATCCATGGCCCGTATATATAAAAGGCATATGGTACAATAGCCATGACGGCACTGATGGCTCCCAGCACAGTCAACGTATAGGCAACCCCATACTTTTCGTAGATGGTGACTCCAGCTATCATGGTGCCCCCTGATATAAGATATCGACTGAACCCCATAAAACCAAGGGCAGACGCAGCGTGTTCCCCGTACGAATCGATGATGTACAAGTAAGCACTGACGAAAATAGATACCATGCCATAGCCTACAAATGCGGATGCGACTAAGGGCGACCAGATGCTAATAGATGCCTGCTAAATGTCAGAATGAGTTCGAGCGTAACCTGTAGGGAACACATACCCGTGCTGTCCATCCCATCCAAAACAGACCAATCGGTAGCGCAGGGGCGCCGCCGAGCATTGCATACCAGAGTCGAGTCTCAGGCCGGATACGAGAGGTGAGCTTCAGCTCTTTGGCCGTCCAAGAATACACCACGGTGGCAATGATCCAGATGAATAGCATGCCAACCAACATTGCAGCCCAAGAAATTCCAACCAGACCTGGAGAAAGTCCGTAAATCTCTCCAAAAATGTAGTGGTAGCCTTCAAGAAAAGTGAAGAGAATAATGTAAACAATTGTCAGGTATAGGGAAAAGAGCATGACAATAAGCTCCGTATAACTCCAAAGAAAAGGCCGAGATAGCGCAATGAGGAGACGATGGCGAAGGGAAGAGGTCCTCATCTCCATTGGAGCCCTATACCGATTGTCGCCGGTCTTCTTGCGCAAAACAGAAGCCTTCCAATACAGTAAAAGGTTTCCGTACGTCTCAGGCAAGAGAAGCAAAACTAAAACGAGTATCGTGCCCCCCATGATGAGCATGATCCACTCAAGCCATCGCCACCCCAAGGCGGGCGGGATGAAACTCCCAATCAGCTGCCCAATCACAGGTCCACCGAAGCCTGGAATCGCATATATCAAGAATGCGTAGACCTTGTGCAAGGGATCCCATAGATCAGCTATAGTGCCACCACAGCAAATCAGAGGAGTAGAGCCGAAAAAGCCAGCCAAGAATCGAAAAACGAGGTGGCTTGCAAGGTTAGGCGCCAAAGCAGAAGCCATGATGAACAGTAAATATAAAGTCATGGTCACAAGATATGTTCCATTTCGTCCAAATGTCTCCGAGAATGGACCTGAAAGCAAGGAGCCGAAGGCAATTCCGATCATGAAAATTCCTAATAGAGACGTCAGTAAGAACAACCTCGACAGATAGGCCTGTTACTATACCTGTTGGGATAGAGCCAACCGTCCTGGACGTGTGGAACTCCTCAGTATATTCCGTCACGCCCAAGGCATCTATCGCAGACGCAGCAGTAACGGAAACTCCAATCAGCGAGACAAGGAATGTCACGGAAGTTTTTTGTAACATGGACCAATTGGCAGGGTTCAACGGATCATCAGGGTTTGCCCACTGCACAATCCAAGCCAAATCTGTCTGTTGGCTGCTAATGGAAGGGTCGATCGGCTGTCCCTTGCATTCGCAGCTGTGCCAGCAAAATTGATTCATTAGCGCTCCGCGGTTTGGATTAGGTACTTCTGGATATTAGTTTCTTACCTTTGACTTTCACTCCCGCTACAAGAGCATTGAGTTTGACCATTCGCCAACTCCTGCACAGCAGCCCGCTCGATTCGCTTGTATTGAAAATGCGCTTCCATTGCAAATGACTTGATCTGGTTCAAATAGCATATGTGACTGGATCAACGAGCCATGAATTCCTCGTCTCATATATAGCCATTGTCTACGCGGTAGACCTCGACACCCACATAACCATTTGCGCCCATCGCAAGTCAATACCAGGGTCGGACCAGTGCCCGATTGGCTGCTACAACTAGAGTGGAGATGCTTGGGGGCTATGGACAAAAGGAGATTGTCGTCTGCATTTTGCTTGGAGGTGATTCGTTCGCTGCGGCGGGTCGTGACCAACTTTTTAGCCAATCATACTGCGGTCCGAAGTCTGTACCAAAGGATTGCCACTATCTCGGAGCTCGGCGCACCGGCCATTAAGTTTGCCCGACTGATGTTGGGATATGCTCGTTTAATGTCCGAGTTTTCAAGAGATTGTAGTTTTCGAACCAATCGGTTGAACGGGCTCATCCTACGTCATTTGATGGTCACTGGTAGTTATTATCCCTCGTTGTTCGTCTTCGGTTTTGTCCCACTTCGATGGTACGCATCTCGTTATCCGACCCGCCAGGTTAGACCACACAAGTAAACCAAGCTGCCACGAGAGAATACTTGCTAATTTTCTGTTCTTTTCTCCCAGCATTCCACAGAGGTGCAAAAACAACTGGCATTCCAAAAAAAGTCCAGTCATTGATTCATATCTCGGTCGTTCTACATACCTAATTACTGATCGTCCTTTCATGGTGAAGAGAATGGGCAACAAAATGTCCCCTCAGCGTCCAAGTGCATCAGCTTCTTTGCCACCTGGGAATTCTTCTCATCGTCGCCACCGAATTCTAAATCGAACAAGCCTCAGAGCAAAGAAAGAAGGTTGCGAGGAAACCGTTCGCCGCCCCAGCAGAGTTCTTAAAGCTTGTGCGAGATGTCGCGTAAAGAAATCTAAGGTATGTATTTGCCAATGAAGCAAGTCGAGCAATGCAACTGAAACTCTCAGTGCGATGGAATGGTTCCCTGCCAACGTTGCAATAACGATGGCCTGATATGCACTACCGGTACACGGAGGAGAGCCTTGTACAAAGAGCCTCCTAAAGGGTATGTCTACTTCCACCGATAGAATTACAAAATCGAAATTGGTTGGCTGAATTTCATAGTTACTGTGAGACGCTTGAAGCTATTCAACTTGTTCTAGTAGCCACCATTCGCAAACTCTACCACATGGTCCGGGTCGGTCAATCATGGGACATGGACGAACCACAGATTAATAATAAGGGAAAAGAGGTCGTACAGAACATTGCAGAAAGTCTAGGCTGTATAGTGTCCGCCGGAAGTGACGAAGGTGCCGCTCGGAACATTGTCCCTGAAGATGAAGATGCGATGAACGAACTGGCTCGTCGTCTTGGGGAACAAGAAGCCGTCCTTGGATCCGAGGTGCGCGCAAAAGAACAAATACTAGAGGACGAACAGTGCCCTGAGGGTCTTTGTACAGATCCTGTTTCTGTCCCCCCCCTCGGCTTCAATCACGAAGATTATAACGCCCCTCAAGTCGAACACGACAAGGACTCACTTGGCGAGTCATCAACAAGTTCGGCGGTACCCAACACAGGTTTTGAGCCTACATGTACCCGAGATGGCGATGAGTCAGAGCCGCAACTTTGCTCCCCTCAGTCTCTCCGTGAAGATTCAGCAACTTATATTGAGATACCAACCAACGACAGAGAACCTTTATTCTCAGCATTTTTCAATCGCGGCCAGCCTTTTGTACGACCAGATGTCGAATGCCCCGTTTTGACAGCGGGCGGTGACCTTGAGCACATCTCAATGGAACGCTATTCGGATCATGGCGTTCTGTGTCCGGACGTGTTGACTATATATGAGAATAGCCAGCTGTCGAATAATGAAGTTTCCGAGCCCATCTTAGTTCCCTCAGGTACCTTCTTGACAATCATTACTACTCCATCATGACCGATATTTAAACTAACAATACATTCAGCCCAACCATTCGGCCATTTCCAGTCAGGCGATACCATTAGCTGGTATAGAGTATGAGAAAGAATTACCTACATACTGTTTGCCTATCAGTTTAGGTTAGAAAGGCTAGATTTTATATCCTTTATACTTTAAATAATTTATAACGTTATAGTTAAGAACGATACACTTTAATTAATAAACTTATAGAATCATACTAAGAACCAAAACCCTTGACCTACCTGAGACCCTGGTCCAGTGTAAGCCACCGATTGTGATAAGGGGATATTGAAATTCATTGTGTCGAGATGTCGGGTCTGGCGTCTCTCATTGCTAGTTGTAACTTTATACTTGAAATCTCTCATTCGTATGCAAAGTTGAGTGATTTAGTTCAGGTGTTGACTTTGTTCACTAGATACTCCAGCTTCCATCAGCCGACACTTTCAGACCCATCCCAGAAAGAACCGCCACGACGCCAAAACCCAGGCGAATGCTTGAACCCAGTCTCAAACCGCATCAAGGGCGGACGTACATAAACATCCACCCAGTCATCGCTCTCCTCTAGCTGACTCTGCACATCCACATAGTCGCACATGTGCACGTACACCCATCCCACGTCCTCAAACTCATTGTTTGTCACTCCGCCCTCCCAGCCGGGGGTTTCATCATCATCACTCCCTTGCTGCCTCTCTCCACCCTGGGTCCAGCGTCTACTAATTAGCTTCACAACGGGCATAGCCATTCGGTCGAGTGACTCGAGACATGTGTCGTCAACGAAAAGACAGAAATTGTAGCGTGGGCCACATTGGTACAAGTAATCCATGATGCCTGTGGCGCTGAGAAGGGCGCCTTTGCTGGGAATTTGCGTGCCAGGAGACCAGTTGCGTTGAAGCTCGCCGACGGCCCAATCAGTAAAGTGATGTCGAATCTGATCGGGTCCTGCGCCGTCAAATCTAGATCGGTCATCCACAATAACCAAATCGTGGCGCTTCGCCAGTTCCTGCTGTCCCGCCAGCTCCAGGGCCGTATCAACATCACGACGGATTTGAACCAACATGCGCTCCCAAGCTTCATCGTTGTTGTATGAACCGCGGTACACGACCAAACCCCAGGGCGCGTCATCCTTGAGGAAGTTAGATGATAAGTATGATACGGACACCGGGTCAGCCATCTTCTTCAGCAGCTCGGCACTGTAAGCTTCACGGAGCGCATCGTCAATTGGGTGCGCGCGAGCGACTTCTTCACAGGCTGCTTGGATGCGCTCGGGGTCGTACTCGGGAATGGCAGCTACGGCATCTTCCATGGCATCAAGATACGCTTGCGCACGAGCGCGGTCAGCGTCTGTGAGTTGGCGAGCCATGTTTTGGGGGATGGTTTGAGTAGCGAGCCAACGAGGCGGTGTAGGGGGGGCCGCTTTGACCAGGAACTTGCGTGTTGCGCTCAGAATTCTCGAGTAATGAAGCATGTCTCGCGAGAACATGAAGCTTATGTAGATGTAGATACAATGAGAGAAAGGACTTGTAACGATACTTGGAAGACGTTGTAGTTTGGTTGAATACACTACGTCCATAGGGGCCTAAAAAACTCTCAAGAAAAGACATGCAGGGCTATCCGAGCGGAGAGTCCGTAACCTAATCCTTCTTTCTGAACCACACAATTAGCTACTCAGATGAGTTCAATTCTTTAATAGATATATCCATGTAAGGAATGTTTTCTTCCCTTGCATGCTTCAATTTCAGACTACACGAAACGCTTTCAAGGCGAGGGGAAGGACATATTCTAGATAACAACAAAGATGTTTAGGGTAGCCGAACTCTCACAGGAGGATTACTTTACCCCGCCTGGATCAGTGTTTTTGTAGATACAGGGATCTGACGCGGGGAATCCACGACGAACGGTCTATGCATCATCAAGCCACACTAGATGAAGGCGAATTGGCTTGAACTTGCGGCTACAACATGTTGCATAGGTAGCGTAAAATAGGTAGTAGAAGCCCAGCTCATCCAACATCCACAACCCATTTCAAGACATCAACCTCGGTTTTCAGGAGGCGATGAAGTCTCCGGCCCCTGATTACCTCGGTCAGGGTACCGATCTGTATAATAACCTGTGATCAGACATATCATAAATGCATCGTTTTTGCCCAGTTTGGCCAGTTCCTGGTAGTCTCATTTGAACCATGTCAGAGGCAGCACATAGCTACACGTGGGCTTCAAACCGCAACAGAGTCGACTTGTTTCAAGTTTTGTTGATAGAAAATGGGGTGCAAGGCAACGCGAGGCAGACGAAAGTAATTAGGCTACTCTGCAGAATCATTGAGGGCTTATAATTCCTAGATGAGGAATCTTTCGAGGAGTTCCCGGATTTGCAAGTGCACGGGTTATCCGGTATTCGACGGGTAACCCGGTGGTGGGAGACACACTTGCCTTTAATTAATCATGGCTGTGACCCTGGACACAATGCACAAATCTGCTCTCATCCCCCTGCTCTCATGATAAGATAATACAATTCAATGTTAGTCGAGATACGGAACGCAATTGCCTCTCTAGAAAGGTAAGAATTCCAGGTACAAGCTACTACGACTAATAATCTCTTCTCATATATTTGTGGCAGCCATGAATGATTACCTGAAATCAAGATGAGCGGATTCAATAAGTATACTCTATGGAGAAGCGATATACCGTACTACAAATAGTCCTCGTTGTAATCTAGTAGGCTCTTCGCGGCAGATACAGCAGGGTCGCTAGTATATTTGACCCGATTAAACTTGCCACAGTGCTCCTGTACGATGCCACGCACTGAGTCTCTATACATGTTGTTGCCCATGAGACCTCCGCCAAGAACGAGAGCACATTGGCCTACATTGATGGCTTGCTCCTTAACTAGCATCCGCACGAGTTCCGCCACGCTGGATGCACCTGATTCAACAATCTGTTTTGCCTCGGCATCCTTCTCAACAGCTGCGAAAACGGCAGAGGCGGCACTTGCTATTGTCTTTGTTCTCGATGCGTCGTCATCCTCGCCTATATTCCCCATCGAGCTTCGAACGAGGATATGGCTAAGAAGGCTTCCCGACGTGCAATCGGAATTTCGACTGTGGAAGTGTTCCAGAACCTCTCGAGAAAGTGGCGAAAAACATGCTAGTTCATCGGCTGTGCTTTTCCTTAGAGCGTGTGCGTCGCAGTCCTTTAGTGTCCTGCGGATTCCCTCTCGGCCGATCGCATATCCTGACCCATCATCGCCGAGGAGTCTTCCCCATCCCCCTACTCGGCCAACCCGTTGAAAGTCCCGGCCTTTTCGTGTGTAACTCATTGCCACAGAACCAGTACCAACTACTAGAACGATGGCCGAGATTATGTCAGGCTCGGACATGAGGCAAGCAGGAAGGAGATCAATGTCTGAAGATACGCGTAAGCCCCCATTGAGTGAGAGCCCGAAGAACTGAGACAAAGCGCCATTAATGATTGGTTGAAGTGTTGGTCTGTCGTATCCCGCCAGGCCAACCCAGACTTTGGTAAATGCTGCTGCCGGTGGCTGACCTCGTGTCGACGGATGCTTACGAAGGACATCGTGTACCACGGCCGTTATGGTTGCAAGGGTCACGTCGAGTCCTACAGTGGAACTAGTTCACCTTATCAGTACATGGATGATAGTCTGTTTGGGTATTATATCGGGCATATTACACATTGCATGGTCCGCCCACACTTGACGCAAGTTCCCCATCAGCCGAGAGGGTGGCTGCTTTGCAGCTAGTACCTCCAGCATCCACGCAAAGGACCAAGGCGGCGGGGCGATTCTGCTCATTGGGGTTGCCTGTGCCCCTCGTGTTGAGAATAGGGGCGTGATCTGCATCTGGGTTTGGTCGGATGACTGTCATCTTACTCTGCTTATGTTGGCTTGGTTCAGATCTTTTGTGCATCGTAGAAAGCTAAATCCCGTGAATGAATCTATATAGGCTTTTGACATTATGATATGACTCGTTTAATTATCCACTCTGTAGACCTTTATTAGTCCCCTTCGGGTTATCCGACAGCTGACTGTTGACGACTTATGACTTAGCCGCAAAATCCCCGTCAGGTTGGACCGAGAAGGTCCGCACCCCACAGATAAGGGAACTCCTCCTTTTCTCCATCTTTCTCCATCCTGTCCCTTTCTATTTAAGCGTGTGGTTTACCAACATGTTTCTTCAAACTTCCACAAGAACGCTGTTGGTAGTAGCCTTCCTATTCTGTCTATGACTTTAGCCATCAAAGCAGACAAAGAAGGCCTAAACATGGCGGAATCAACTACCAAAAACGGTCCCCAAGTTAATGAAGGGGACATCCCTCCACAAGAGAGTACACAGTGGCAACCATCTTCCTCAAAGCTTGTGAGATTTTACTCTCATCCGTGGACTCAAATCATTCTGATCAGCTTTATATGTTTCTGCCTCCCTGGTGTAAGTCCAAATGTCTCACCAGTCTCAATGTCTGCAATGCTAAGACATACACCAAGATGTACAATGCCTTGACCGGCATGGGCGGATCTGGCCAGGTTGATTCGACCGTCGCTGCGAACGCCAACGTAGCTCTTCTATCCGCCACTGCCGGTACGGCTCTTTTAGTTGTTGGGCCCTTGTTCACCCGCGTGGGACCCCGAGTTTGCTTCCTCATCGGTGGTTGGACATATGCCCTGTATAGCGGCAGCCTCTTACACTTCAACCATCACCACAATGGGGCTTTTGTGATTGCTTCAGGGGCCCTTCTCGGAGTTGGTGCCTCTTTCATCTGGATCGTCCAAGGGGCCATCATGACGACTTATGTTGAGGAATCCCAAAAGGGGCGGGCTATAGCAGCGTTCTGGATCATTTTCAACCTCGGAGGAGGAATTGGCTCTCTCGTGTCCTTTGGCCTCAACTATAATTCTAAAACGAGCACAGTTTCGGATTCCACGTATATCGCGTTGTTGGTTATCATGGGTTTCGGTTGGCTGCTGGGTATATTCATCTGTTCTCCTTCTCGGATCCGCCTAGCGCAGCTACACAATGCAGCGGAGACGGAGAAGCGGACTATCAAGGGTGCCATGCAAACGGCAGTCAGTACTCTCTTCAAGTGGCGTGTCGCTTGCATGATACCTCTTTTCTTCTCGGCCAATGTCTTTTACAGCTACCAGCAGAATAATGTTAACGGCCTAACCTTCAATATCCGCACCCGCTCGCTGAACAGTGCTCTATACTGGATCGCGCAGATGTTGGGGGGGATGCTCATTGGGTTCCTGCTGGATCTGCCTTGTCTCGACCGCCCAGGGCGTGCCCGCCTCGGCTGGGGTTTTCTTCTAGTCACCGGCATGGCGGTCTGGGGCGGAGGCTATGCGTTTGAGCTGTGGCATGAAGAACGCATGGCTCAAGGGCTCAAGCAAGATATCGACTATACCCAAGGAAATGTTTCGACTGGTCCCATTTTTTTGTACATCTTCTATGGCGCTTATGACGCTCTCTGGCAAGGATTTGCTTACTGGATGATCGGGACTGAGTCGAATAGCGCCGGTCGTGCCGCTGTTCTTGTCGGTGCCTACAAGACGTTCCAGGCTACGGGCGGAGCCATGGCATGGCGTATCAATGCACAGGGGGCTAGTGGAAGGACGCAGCTTGGGATGGACTGGGGCTTGTGTATTGGCGCGTTGGTCATTGCCTTGCCTGCGGTCTGGACTGTGTCCAAGTCGACGCCTATAGAGGAGGAAGCTGGGTATACTCCGTCAACTGATGTCGGACTCAAGAAATTAGAGGAAGAAGCGTAAGAATGACGAGATGTATTTGGGAAGACTAGCAAGTACAGACCTAGAAAGTCGCTGCCCTGTTACGCGAAATGATTTGATATAGTTGTTTTCCTCATCCGAAAATAACTCGGTGAAAGTAAGAGCTTTACACCTTGACATTTTCACAACTGTTCTAAGTTGTTATAAAAATTCTGTCTAGGTGATCCCATATAATCTACGAATCGGACTTCAAATGATCCAAGAAAGGCCTGATCTTGCCATAAATCCCATTATAGCCACTCAGACGAATAAGAGGAAGGAAATGCCTTGGCGGAACCACCGAATCGACTCGGCGATCGCTGGCTTCCATTCTGCATAAAACTCCATTTACAACGCTTCAGGGTCTTGGGCAGCACGAGTCCTGGGTCAAAGTTGTATCATTAATTCCCTCTGGTTATATTGGCCAGGAACCGAATGATGGGCGTGCCCCGGTAGTCAAAGCCGGAACTTGGTAAACGTTCATTGGCTACGGACCGAAATAGAAACACCCTGCCGGTCACACGGAATGAATTGTCTTTTCTTTGGTCATAATCCGCAGAAACCTGGACTCGTTTGATACAAGAGTCAGTGTGGCTAGGGTTCAAGGAGGGGCACGAACGGTCCAAATTGTATCTGCTGCTTTGAAAGAAAGGTATTTTTGTATCTCGTTTATTCATGAAGATCGTATCTACGACAAATAACGGAGCTTCAAGGTATGCATATGGCTTCCAAACTAAAATTAGTGCATAAATCGGTTATAGGCCAATAACCATCGTTAGGAGTCAAGCGAAAAGAAGCTTTCTATGCTTCCTCCCAATACCAGGGGGGATACAAGGCCGGAAATGACGATGTTCGGGTTCTGGCCAAACAGAGGGGTTAGATTGTATTTTTGACACGAACCAAACAAAATGGCTTTGTACATGGAGTATGGATTATGATCCCCGTAAATGACTCAAGGATCTTATTTGCCGCCTCAATATCTTGCAAAATCAGCTAAATATTTATATAAGACCTTAGGAAAGCAGCCAGAAATAAGGGTGGTTCTTCATATTAATTATTTGTTTTGTGTTTCCGAGCTGGTCTCCCTTCGCTTCTCACAACAATAGCAACTGGTTTGCCTCGTTTCGCTTTCAGCCATTCATCTTTCTTTATTCACTTTCTAAGGAACCCACAGTCTTGAAACATTTGTCAAGATGGTAGCCATCACATATTTCTCCGTCGCACTCATCAGCCTAGCTAGTCTAGCTATCGCCAGCCCTATCGGCGAATACCCGAGTGGCATGGTCAACATGGAAAGCCGTGTTTTCAAACCCACCACTGCCAGGCCGCCGCAGCATCACCAAAGGGTGGACATTCTCGCACACATGGCGCATGCAGCCAGGGACGAAAGTGAAGCTGGTGTAGTCAACATGGAGAGGCGTGTTGTCAAACCCAACGCCCGGCCGCCGCAGCCTCATCAAAGGATTGATTATCTCGCTCAGATGGCGCATGCAATCAGAGACTCTGACGATAGCGGAAGTGGTGTAGCCAGATTGCAGAGGCGTGTTGTCAAACCCAGCTCCGCCAGGCCGCCGCAGCGTCATTTCGCTAACATGGGGCATGCATAAGACGAAAGTCCCATTCTCTTTCGCATGTGAAACGCCTACCCAGATGGTGTAGCCAAAATGGAGGTGTGGTCAAACTCAAAGCTGTTAAGCCCCAGACAGATACGACATACCTCAACAAATTGCAGCACGCAGTCTGAGACGAAAGCGATGTCTCTCTTGGCAAACGACTCACGTGCACTTCTAGCAACTGCAAGATCCCATCGGCCTTTGGAAATTGTACTGGCTACTGCCGTGATGAGGGGACGTGGGAATATGGTTACTCTCGGAAACCGCATCGCTCGTCTCCGGTGATTACAAGATTCCTCCGTTGTCGGCAAGCACAAAATGGCAGCCGCCTAGTCATCAGGGGCGAGGACTCTACGAGCGTGGCGAAGTCGAACCCATCTTGGAGCAGAGGCTAAGAAAGGATTTGGAGGCTGTCTATACCATGTCGTTTTTCAGGAGCCATGTGGACTTTGTCTTGATGTATCTTAGAAGTCAATATTAGCAGCCTACAGAAGTAAAATAAAGACAGGCAGATTTGGCCACTTACACTTGAAAACTTTCTGATATCGCCCTGATTTTTCCCTTTTCTGAGCAGGAATTTACCAAGGATTGGATGATTGCAGGTGATTTACATTAAGCCAATTCTATGCACATATTCTATGCCTTGAGATTCTGACCAAGGTTCTCAGGCGTTTTTACGCCGATATTAGATACTGCTTTGAACTTGTTCTGTCGTGCTGCCATGATTTTTATAAGAATAATATCTATAGAGTGAAGTGAACTGAAAAGTATTATATGATATACAATAAAAAATGAAACATTTTTGTATGCAACTTCTAAGAATAAGTTTCTGTTTTCCAACATGGAACTCAGAATAATTCAGTAGGAGCTGATTCGGGGTAGAGCTTCTGGGTAAATTGTTCTTCTAAGCAGCAAATGCATTGGAAACGATCGCCCAAATTCTGGTTGTTGAGTCGCGGGGGTGGGATGCTCTAACTTTGCCCTGCCTCGACGCTGAGGGCCTCGATAACCTCTTTCACCGCTCTTTGTCCAGCGCACACTGCGCCTTCCATATATCCGTACATTCTTGTGGATGTTTCAGTTCCCGCCCAATGAATAGGTCCCACGGGTTTCCGGATCCATTCGCCGTACGAACTGATGATGCCTGGCGGGGGTGAAGCGAGCGGGCACCCACCCGACCATTCGTCATGAAGCATCGTATGGAAGAAAACCTCCTCTGGTTCCAGAGCTTCCTTACCGAACAGGCTCGCGAACTCTTCAATCGCAATCTTCTTCTGCTCATCCTCTGGCAGAGCCGCAAACTCCCGGCATTTGGGCCCGGTGAGGAAAGCCATCAGCTTGCCCTTGGAACCTGCTCCTGGCAACGTGGCGTCAAAGACAACAGGGAGGTATCCGTCGAGATTCGTCGCCTCGCCGCGGAGACCGCGATCTCGCCAAAATGGAGTCGTATAAGTTGCAAAGACTTTTGCGTATGCGCCGAGCTCTATGGCCTCGAGGAGGGCCTTCTTTTCCGTCGGAAGGCTCGGTTCGAATTGCACCTTGGCAGCGAACTGAGGCGGTATCGTGAAGATGACGCGTTTGGCGCGATACTCACCCTTGGCTGAGGTGATGGTGCAGCCCGAGTCATCGTACTTGACCTGGTGCACCGGCTCGTTCAATTTGACAATTTCATCACCGCCAATTCCCTCCCAAATCAGTTTGGCAATGGCCATACCGCCGCCTACCATCATGTCCTGTTGGAGCCCATCCTTTGAGCTGAAGGCTGCCTCGACGCCGCCCAGCGTCTTGAACACATAGGCAGCGAACAAAAGCGAGATATCGCTGCCTGGCCGACCAAAGACCCCCTGAAAGCCCAAATCCATCATATCCCGACATCCCTTGGTGGACGAGTGTCGCTTTACCCATTCGTTGAGTGAAGTGCTGTCCCAGGCCTTGGCCTTGCTATGTGCCCATGGCGCATTGACATCTACGCTGCGGACTTTCTTCTCGAGCTTTTGCAGCAATATACCACTGTCGATAACCTCCCACGGCCGAAGCGGTGGAATCAACCCCGAATACTCCTTCGCCCGGCCGCGATGAAGAAACATGAGCTTGCCCTTTTGGGGGATGGGGAAGACATCGACCTTGTACTCGCGTGCGAGGCCGTACATGAGATCTTGCTTTTTACCGAGGAACGAGCCGCCGACGTCCCAGTATGTGCCATCGTCGCGATGGATGGTTTTGGCGCGCCCTCCAATGCGTTCACGCGCCTCAAGAACAAGAATTCTTGGCTTCGTCTCGTGCTCAACCAGAGCTTTGGCAGCGGCAAGTCCGGAGTACCCGGCGCCGACTATGATGCAATCGTAGGTGATATCCGTCATTTTGCCTGTATGAATGAAGACTATTGTCGGAAGAATCTCATCTTCCCTTCGATCGATGCTGATGGAGGTTTTATATTGAAACTGTCTAGCGGATGATGCACCCTAGAAAATGAAGTGCTTATTATGCTTATGCTAATCTCCGCTGACACATCGGGATATGTAGGTCCCCTAGTAGGGGGGCAAATGAATCATCAAGACTCGAATCTGTTACTTGGTCACTGCCAGTATCATATGGAAGACCAACCAAGTCCTTTGCAGTATATGATATCTGCAACGAGAAATTGCCAACGAGCCAGACCAAAGTGTCTGGTAAGAGACCAGTGCAGAATTCAGAAGCATGATTCAAGCCAGCAGCGCCCCTTGCTGCCCTTCTCCACTGCTACTCGCGCGTAAAAAAAGGAACAACAAGCTCTGACCGCGTAGTTCCGAAAGCACGAGCCATTTTCCTGTTCGGGTATTCATCTGCGAACTGTCTCGGTCCCGGCAGTTGAGCCTACCCTGGAACAACCATCAGTTGACAAATCCTTGTCAACAAAGGGATACTAAATCAGGTGGTTAAGGACTCATCATCAGCTGATAGAGTGGAGAAGTTTGGGAATTTTTCTATAACAGAATTTGGAAACTTCTTCCGCTGTAAATAGATCACCCTTAACAAAGGCGGCTGCTTGTCTCTTCTTCTCGTTCACTAAATCTCACTATCACTACAACGAACCCTCCCCTAATCGTAACCGGGAGCAACGTTGTTGGGGCCTAGCTTTAGTTTTTATATTGTAGAGTGTGTAAGCACTACGGTCAGCTTCGGATAAGAGTTTGAATCAAAAGGAAAACCAGCAATGGAAGGTGCCAGACTCGAAGTCTCAATACAATAAGTATGGAAAGCCAAAGGATAATAACTACAGACTGTCTAAATAGCTAAGGTCGATTGAGTCTGCAAAAGTAAGCAATTGCTCCGTAGTATATCCCTCCTGCCAGATAAAGTCGGCCATCCCGAGCTCGCCATCTCCCTCCACAGCCTTGGGCGACTCTTCTCTCACATCGAGAGGGTCGAATGCCGAGGTACCAAACATAAGGGACTCCGATTCGTCGTTGCGGGTTCTGGCCCTTGTTTCTGATGATGGAGATTGGCAATGGTCTTGAACTCCCCAATTAACCCGCAAACGACTACACATATCTTCCAATATGTCAATTTCGGCTTTGAATTGGACTGCCAGCATATTCCCCCTGTCTACCATGTGTCCCAATAGGCTGTGAGATGTTTCTGACCACAACTGTTGGTCCTTCACCAACGCCGCGTCAATTGCCGTAGCCACGACGAGAGCCACTGATGCTGCAAAAATAGCGTCTAGGTCAAACCGTAGAAATGATTCTTTACTCGCACCGTTAGCAAGCCGAAATGATACTACCTCATGAAAAATATGAACTGACCTAAGAGGTTCTCGCGTTGTAGGTCGGTGAGTATGATCAGTATTTGCTGTGCTGACTCGATACACATGAAGATAAGGCTCCTAATGCTACCGGAACAATGGACATGGGCCAGCGATAAGTCTGACTGACCAAGTCTGGCTTGTAGAAAGGTGTAAAGAAGCGGTCTTGCGGCAATAACAATACACTAAAGAAAACAGAATCAGTTACGTATTATTGAAACAAATCTCTGTCAGTCCTGGCCAACATACCTGATGGTGAAGAACATGAAGAGAAGATGACAATCTGCAAACACCTCCTCTCAGTCCATTCCTAGCGATCCCGAAGGAATCATTGAGTTGATCTGTGACACTAGCAATGTTCTTCAAAGCATCCTTCATGGTTGCAAGGAAGCACTTGTCCAGACGTCCCTCTGCGCCATATACGGCTATGCGTGGTCAAGGTTAGCTGGATCGGGACCCAAACGGTGATAGAGGGATCGACTGAACTGTTTAAGATCTGTGCAAGAACTTTGGAAAGTTTGATCTGAATCTCCAAGCCCATTGACTTTTGGGGTTGACCGGGAAATGTGGGCAAGCCGGCTTCGATTTGCTCCTCAGGGATGCCCATCGGCACACCCATGAGAGAAGACATCTGACGATCTAGAACGTATATTGTCCACCAGACACGGTGGCACCTCTCGGAACGTGTGCTGTCCATATCTTGGCTGTGAATCTTTGTATGCATTCCATCGCCAAGAGCCACACGGATGGCCTGGCCAATCTGCAAAGCAATCTTGTCAATGATCGTTCTTCGTCTGGCCGATAGGCGATACTCACCATCCTGTAAGAGGCAGACCGGAAGTCGACGCAGTGGAAATAAAGAGAAGCACAGCAAAGCACCTCGGCTAGTTCTATTGGGTTGCAAGATGTGTCAAACAGGACGAATTCGTGAAGCCTAGTCATGGCGTGTAGGAAGAGATCTGTGCCTGGTGGTGTCCGCGTCCTATTGCCATTGGCGACGAGTGCTTTGCCGAATGCAAGTATTAACAAATAATGTACATACCAGAGTGACGATATTCCGGATGGATCTTCATGGTGAAGGCAGAAATGGTGCATAAAATCCTTCTCATCGTAGAGATGAAATAGTTGTCCGCAATGAAACTTGACGGCACTAATCAGGTACAAAGCGTATTCTGCTGTAGGGAGTGATAGAGAGCTGTGGGCAACTGGCTGGTCTAGTTTCCACCCCAAATTATAAGATGTACCATCAAAATTGAGGTTGTCTAGTGGCAGGGGGGCTTGCATCACGGATTCATGCATCATTACAAGGACTCGGCGACCAAATGACCAGTTGGAACATGTACCCAAGTGTACTGGAAAGAGTGAGCATGAAATAAGAGAAAATATCGAAAGAATGCAAAGACATACTTGGCCGGCCGCTTGTATCAGCGAAGTATCGAGAATAGCCCGACGCAAGCGGGTTGACTAGAGCTGCTGGTGACTCAGGGCTTGAACTCGGCTCTACCGAACACACAAACGTTCCAAGTTTACCAGAGTGCCTCTCGTGCTCGGATATACTATCACTGGCCTTTTCACGGGCTCCTTTTGGTGAGCAGTCCGCGCCACCTTGGTCTTGAAAGCCTTAGCTAAATCCTCTAGAGCCAATATGACGACTGACCTCTTGCGCTCGATCTTTGCGTGCTTTTTGGTTGTAGCTGTGCTATGTGGGAGTCTCTCTCTCTAGTATGACTGTTTCGTTCCAATGCAGCAATTTGCGCATTAAGTAGGGCAAGGTGACTAGAAATGTCATGATGAGCCGTGAATGGTTAATTCGACTTGTACTCACGCTCGAGAAACGGTGACCATTTGCGAGTCATGCTCGAAATCGCATCGTGCATTCTTTTTCACACATTCTAAACAGGGATAAGAGCCACTGCATTTGCTTTTCTGCACACGACACCGGCCACATCTATTGTTCCTCACAGTTGGTAAAAGAATTTAGATAGGTGCATGGGACTGCTTACGCTTTGGAAGCACGCGACCTCCGAGCTCTAGACTGGCCATTCATCCCCGAAGCGGTCTCTCGAATAATGTAAACAAGAAAATCAGTAGCTAACAACAGGAAGAAATCTATGCACTCATACCGGAAATCCCTGAAACCTCGGAGTTTCCGGAACTGTGGCCCGGTAATAAGTCTTTATTTTGCCCTCCCTGCCAGTGGTCGAATGTGTGTGTTAACATGAGATGACTTCTCGTTTCCAAAAGACTATCAGATCGTAAGAAGAAAACATATAATAAGGAGCAGGGATCGTGGATGGATGCTTGGAATTTCGAGCGGGGATACGAAGGCGAGGAAGTTCATGTAATGTCGGCATATCATCCGCAACCGGAAAGCTCCCGTAGCGTCCGGCTAACCCGGTGCCGTCTGATTGGCCAATCGCCGATTTGAATTGATAGAGACGAGCCTAGCATCGTAAGATGTGATGGATATGTGTCAGTGATCACAAGTTCGAATCCTATACTACGGCATTGCCGGTGAAGAGGTCCATTGATAGTTGATCAAGCATGCTATAAGTAGGTAGCAACCTTGCTCAAAGAAAGAGAATCTCAAGCAATTCAGTTCACGCCCAGAAACTCTTCTCTAATTGTATATTCGAATTTACATTATGGGGTCCTCCGTCAGTGTCTATTTGGTTGCGGCAACGCTGAGTTGCTGGCTACTTCATGCGATGTACCAGCTACTTGCATCTCCTTTGAGAGATATACCCGGTCCCTTCTGGGCCAGATATACTCGTCTCTGGTATCTCTATAAATCCAATGCCGGCAACTTTCACCTTGACAACATCAAGCTGCATGACACGTACGGAAAAATTGTCAGGGTTGCTCCCAACATGTATTCAATCTCTAGCGTCGACAAGGCTGTATACGGAGTCGGAAGTCACTTCGCCAAAAGCGACTGGTACGACTCGTGGAAGCACCCAGATCCCAAGAATATAACGCTCTTCTCGGATACCAACATTAAGCGACACAATGAGTCTAGGCGCAGGGTGCAAGGCATGTTCTCTATGTCCACAATGGTGTCATATGAAGCTCAAATCCATGAGATCAACAAAATATTTCTCCAAAAGCTCCATCACTTCGCAGAGACCGGAGAAACTATCTCGCTTGATCATTGGCTCCAGTGCTACGCGTTTGACGCCGTGGCATCCATAACCTTCTCGGAGACTTTCGGGTTCTTGAGCGAGGGGGAAGATATTGATGGGATGATGGCTGCTCTGGATAAAGGTAACAAATATTCGTCATGGGCGGGAGTCTACCCAGAGCTTCATCCCTATCTGTACCCGATTCTCGAGCGAATACCTACTTCAGGAGCATCCGAGATGGGGAAGATGATACGCTTCATCAAGAGAATGATCGCTGCTCGCAGGCAACAACGAACCGATGAGGGTGCTGGCGGAGAGAAAGCGATAGTAAAGCATACAGAGGATCAAAAAGCACCAGAAGACTTCCTTGACAAAGCCTTGAATGCCCAATCCAAGGACCCAAACAAGATGACGGACGCCCACATTTTCGCACTCGGTTGGAGCAACGTCAGCGCCGGAAGTGATACTACTGGAGTGAGCTTAACGGCCGTCTTGTATCATCTGTCACGAAATTTAAGGGTGCTAAGTAAGCTTCTTAAGGAGATCCTTGCCGTCGAAGCTGAGGGGAAGTGCAATAGAGATAGCTTCTCGTTCGCCCAGTCCCAATCGATGCCTTATTTACAAGCCTGTATCAAAGAGGCTCTTAGAGTCCATGCCGCGGTTGGCCTGCCACTCTGGCGGGTTGTCCCAGAGGGCGGCCGGCAGGTTTGCGGACGTCACTTTCCTCAAGGCTCTGTGGTCGGAGTCAATGCGTGGGTAGCTCACTCCGACGAGGCTGTCTTTGGCAGCGATGCTCAGGAGTTTCGACCCGAAAGATGGCTAGAAGCGGATGAGGATGAACTGAGGGCACTAAATGCAGCGTGGGTCCCTTTTGGGGCAGGTTCCAGGACTTGTATTGGTAGGCACATCTCAATGCTGGAAATCAATAAGCTGCTACCTCTCCTACTGATGAACTTTGAGTTTGAGCTCATTGGGGATAAGGAATGGCAAACGAAAACCTCCTTCTTTGTCAAGGCAAAACAATTTGAGACTCGGATTAAGGCAAGGCGGGTTTGTCATTAGACTATCTGACAAGCACGTTTAATGATACTCAAGCTCTCTCACAGTATTACTATATAAACTATATGAATATACAGTAACAGAGGACTAAGAAGATAGCTTTCTGCCACCACTCACACCCCAGACCTCCCCATTGCCTAATAAACTTCCTGCCTGATTTAAAAAAAAATAGGTACAAAAGGTTTAGCTATGGAGAGGTAATAACAGCTATGTCTGCGAAGGTGAAATATTAGGCAAGTCCAACCCTAGCAGAGGTCACAGCTGCTTTGGTAACTTGATAATGCGCCTGTTTAGGTTGAAGCTGTTGGCTGCTCCTTGTTTGAGTTGTCATCGCCAGACATAGCAGATTGCTCGATATTCTTTGGATACCATTGGTCCGCATCTCCCAGGCGATCACTAGTCAGTCCAGCACTACCGGGATCCCTCATCCCAGCAGCGAGCTGCCTCTGGTATGACACCATGCGTAGTCTCTCTGCCTCCTTGGGTGTAAGATGCAGCTATAAACCCATTAGACAATGCTCAAATGAACGGTTCTTAATATTATTCTTCCGAATGGGTACGACTTACGTAGATTTCAATAACAACACCACTGATGAACAAGCCAAGCCAAACGGACATACCAAACGGAAGGTGATGCGCAACCACAGCCTCTGCAGCTGAAGTAGGGGTTCTCGAATCAGCCCGAACAACTGCCACTTGCTCTAGATTATCTCCACTGAGCCAAGCTGAGCAGTCAGGGTAGAGGGCCAGTAGCCTATCAGTATCTCCGATGGTAAATTTCAACCACCCACACGGCTTTGGAAGATAATAGCCTCCAATTTGCGAAATAATATCCGCAACGAGATAGTTAAGAAGTCTTGCCATAAGAATCGTCCCTCCCTAGAATATATTAATGAGTAGAAGGAAGAGGTTATAAGGGTTGGATGACATACATAAAACCAAGCCCGTAACATCCATGCTCGATGTTGATCAATCTGTAGTCTCTTGATGTTGATATACGCCATTACAAGCGCACCGAAGAAAAGCACGAAGATAGCGCCGGACGCAGATTGAACATCGAGCCCGCCGCCGAAAGCGTTGCGTGCGATCAAAAGACCACCAACAGCGCCGATCGCGCTGAGAATCAGGGTTATATAGCCACTGATGCGATGAAACAGTATGAACTTGTGGCGGATAACGGGCACAAACTGAAAGCATGCGAGAACACTGGCTGGAAGAACTCCTGACAAATGTAGGTACATGCCAATCCTGGGTAGTCCGACTGAATAATAATAGCACTCGCCAGGGGGACTGCCTCCCTTGCCACAGAAGCCATTATCAACGTCGATCTTACGCATGCTTAGGGCGCAGAATGCAGTGAGAGGGAAGGTAAAGAGAACGAAGAAGAAGAAGTTATAGCCATGAGAGAAGCCAATAGGGTTGTAGACTTTCCGCATTGCTGCAACCAAGCGGTTTGCAGGAGGCTTAGTTGGGATAACCATTGTGTCGGCGGCTGTCGATGCTGTTGCTCTTGTTTTGTTTTTAATATCGAAGACGTTTGTGGTGAAGATGGAGATAGATAGCTAGTTATCCAAGTCAGTGGGAGCTTCCTTTTTATATGTCCCTTTCTTCACACAAATCTAGATAGACCATAGATGGAGGAGTCACTTATTGCAGAGTCCACATATGCACTAGTAAGGGTGTACATAGAGAGAGGGCCTAGGCGTGTTTACGCGGAGTTATCGATGCACCCAAGAACATGAATCAGATGGCAGTGCAACACGCCCTCCAATCTCGCATTGAAATGTAATGCCGCAACAAGCACCTGCTAGAGTGGCCAAGACTCATATTCCGTGTCTAATGCTCAGTGATTGGATAGATCTTCGTCTATGCTAGCGAAACGGGATCGGACTTTGACTTCGATCCACAGCGGAAGACATACACCCATGCAGTGCGCGCGCACTCCCCTGTCCGAGACTCCATATGTTAAGTGGTATTAATGCTCCTCGCCTCTGCTGACAAATAGTTTAATCTTAGTGAAGCAGGCAAGCAGGCAAGCAGGGTACAACGATCATCGACGACGAAGCGGAGAAATGACCAAGCTTGAAAATCTCCGGACGATACAATCTATAGCCCCCTTTGCCCCTCAAACTTCTGGAATGATGTGGAGTGCGCGCGCACAGTGAAGCCATCATTTTTCAGCCCACGCGCGAGCAAATTGCAATCGATCTTATTTCGCAACTCGTATTCGACGTTTAGGTGTCTGTGGACCGTGAAAAGGATGGTGGGCGCTCCTGGAAGTTCCAAAGCCTGTATTACCTGCCGCAGACGTAAAAAAGGGGCACGTGATCTCTTCCCTTTATCCCTGGCCCAATAACGTGATGTTAACAGCCTTATTTTATTTAGTGTGATCTTCAGCAGCCTAAATGCAACCGCTGTCTGAAGGGCGGTTTTCCATGTGAAGGCTACGACCGTGATCTCGAAGTCATTCAATGCGCCAAGACGACTCGAAATAATGCACCTACTGTCTTCACCACGGCAGTGGATGCTGCTTTATCGCCACCCACACCCCCGACGACCACTGGTATCTCTTTTTCCGTCGTAGGGGAAGTTGCATTGTTTACTTCTCTTGCCCGTTCAGCCTATAAAAACCATATTCTAAGCTGCTTTTGGAAGTGTCGTTCTATCGCCGGTAGGGTTCTAGACAGAGACACGACTTTGCAACAATTTGTGAAGAGCTGGGTGCCCGCAGCACAGGATGTCTACCATCGCGATCCAGCTTTGCAGAACTCTTTGCTCGCTCTTTGTCTTGGATCCCTAGGGCGGATAGAGGATCATAACTCGTGGCTATGGGAAAGCCAACGATTTTATATGAGATCCCTGGAGCAGATGAACGTTGGATTGAAGGATTCTAAGCAACAGGTGTCAAACGAGCTGCTTTTGACATCGAAGGCACTTATTGCTTATGAGGTCTGTATCACCCAATCCTCTTAACTTCAAAGATCTGATACTGAAGGGTTTTATGTCACAGCTGCTACATAGTCTTGATGATACCAAGACTCTGATTAATCCAAACTGGCCCGCGAGTTGGCTTGTGCACCAACTTGGACAAATGAGCATTCTGCTTCAGCGAACACCAGAAATGCACATTGATGGCCATGCCCATAGTTTATTCGTTGAGGGCCGTTTGAGCATGGTAAGTCTTCTGCAGTTTTGCCCTATCATCACCTGGCCTGGTTGACTCTTTATGTTTCCCAATGCAGATTACAGTATCAATCTTAAGACGAAAAAGGTATCCCTTTAATGAAATGCGGTGGAAAACTATTCCGTGGCTAAAGCACGCCAAATCACCCCAAGACTTGCTCATCGATATTTTGGGCGAAGTACCAGCTCTTCTCGAGGACACGGACACTGCTCTTCTCCATAAAGATTCTCAGAAGCCTGCTCTCCTTGAAAAGATATTGGGGGAATGCTGGAAGATCAACGACCAGCTCAAATGGTGGTTAGAGAACATAGGACCCGGCTCACTCGCTGCCCGCACTCTACAAGCCCAGGAACTACCATCATCGGCGGCCAATGACACTGCCACTGGCCATAAGATGTGCATATACTGGGCTGCTCATCTTTTGATACACGCCACCATCTGGCTCATTCTTCGCTCGAACCAGCCCAGAATCCAAAGGAACGAGAATGACATCTTTCATCAGTCCTATCCTGGACTCTACTGCAGCAATATCATCGAAACTGCGAGAAGAATTTCCAACCCTCTAGTTGACGGTTTTGTAAGACATCCGCTATCCCTTCCACTAGGAGTAACATACATGTACCTGAAGGCCATAGAGGGAAGCACAACGTCGCTAGAAATACTACAACTTGTGGAGTTCTTCGATGGGACAGACCAAGGATTTAGGATGCGGAGATTCTTCTATGGTATGATGTGTGCTGTGCTTTCTTCTGGGTCTAATCTGGGGAATGATGAATGGGATGGGTGTATTCCAACCAAGTTCCAAATGAAGGCACGAGCATGGTTTAGAATGACTTAAGCCCTTCCGAAATAAGGATTGAAAGACATTGAGAATGCACACTATTAGAGAACTGGTTGTTTTAATTGGAAGTCAAGAGGAAAGCTGCAGAAATATTTGCAGAAGGCACAATTGGTCTTAACTGTTGTCTAACTTGTATCCGGAAGTCTCTTCTCACTCATCTTTTCCTCCACCCATTCCTTGCAGTATGCCAGTGCACCATCTGGATCATCCTTGTGAAGAAAAAGATATGAGATGATCTCAGCCTGGCTAAACGTGGATGCTGGTACAATTGATGCGAACTTATGAGCTTGGGACCTCAACGCTGGGTCTACTTCTGCCTTTTCCTCTTTGAGCTCCTTCAATTCGACCTTGGCGGCACCTTTTCCTTTGACGGGACCGAAAAGAAACATAAAGAGCTGGCTGATGACCTCCGCGTCGGCAAGAGGGAGTACGACTTGCCTGTCGATGCGACCAGGGCGAATGAGTGCCTCGTCTAGCATTTCCCGATGATTCGTCGTCATGATCACGATACGCCCATCTTGAGAAGTAACACCGTCAAGCACGTTCAAGAGCCCTGAAAGCGTCGCTTCGCTAGTTTTCCGGTGTACTTGGACCCGTCCCTTTGTATTCGAGTCTGAACCCTCGTCTGCGTCCGACTCTCTCGACATACCAACCGCATCAATATCCTCAAGCAGGACGACACAAGTCCGTGGCAAATTTTCGAACAAATCCCTCAGATCCCGATCCGAGCAGTCGGGAATACTGACAACATAGATGTCTAGATCGAATTCGCCGGCTATGGAGAAGCTCAAACTGGACTTGCCGGTGCCGGGAGGGCCATATAAAAGGTAGCCACGACGATACGGAAGGGCGCGCTGCACATACCAGAGTTGTGTATCTTCGCTCAGAAAGCTCCTGAAATCTTCTAGCAAAAGGTCTTTCGTACTCTGGTTGAGGATGACTGTCGATAATGGCCGAACGTCTTTTTCATCGACCTTACGCCAATAGTGTCCGCGATGCTCAAAAATGGCAATCTTGTCCTTAAATGTTTCCAGATACTCCTGCATACACTCGTTCATGAGTTGTTTAAGGATATCAGTCGACCAACCCAGGGAAGTCAGTTTGACTTCCTCTTCCAAGCACTCCGTGATCTGGCATCTGCCTACGTCAATGCTGCTACTGTACGTGATGAGGTGGCCCCTGTACCAGAAACTAAAGCTTCCTTCCCAGGGCTGAAATTTGAGGATTTTCTTCCCCATTTTGATTATATCTCCTGGCTTGCGGATATTTTTCACGCTGACGAGGGACGCGCGGGCAGACTTTTCGAAGCCACGTTTGCTAAGCCAATCGGAGAGCATGTCATATGCCTCATTGTTATCGTTGTCGATGTGGATTGTCGCGCCTGGACGAGGAACGTTAGTTTGAAGGCTTTGCAACCTATAGACCAGTGAAGAAGGTATGTACTAAAGTAAGGCTCGATCGAGGACAAGAGGCGGTTGATGGAGGATTGGACGAAACCGAACAGGCCCATGGCGAGGGCGGCGTAAGTGAAGATATTGAAATCAGTAGCAAGCACGCCGCTCAACATTTTGATTATGTGTGAGATCCCAGGGGCAAGTGCTTCCAAAGCTGGAAGTCCTTGAGCCGCCGTGGCAGAGATTCCAGGCGTAGAAGTAGAATTGTCCATGGCTCGACCAGGAAGGGATTCTGTATCTGCGAAGTGAGAACAGTGTACCTGGTTGTAAGGTATGGCTTTAATGGAGAGCGGAGTAGGGATCGCTGGCCCAGCTGAAAACGAACGATAGACACGATCGTCTGCGGTGCTGCAGAAATCTATCAGCATTGGCGAGGAGAGGGGGCATTATATACCCCACATTCTTTCGACGGTGCCAAACAGTTTGGTCTTCCAAGGTAAGAACTTGAGATCGATGTGTAGCTATGTACCATGAACTACTGGCCATGCTTGGCTGTGAGTAAGCCGGGGTGTTGAACTCTATCAAATGCAAAGTTATTCCAAGCTACTCTGTGGGGAGAAATGTCATGAAGACCTTTTCCTTTAGACCGGATGAATAATAAGATCATCTCCCGGGCCCTACCAGCCGCAACGACTCGGCGACACAGTCATGGCCGAAAACTCACATAAACCTTAAGATCTAACTTTGGTGGCGGGACTGCCCGGCTGTGCAGGTGGATTCGATGAAGCAGTATTGCATTTCTTTGCTTTGAGTCTAGAGTCGATATTTGGATAGAGACCGACTTCTTTCTTTCACTAGCCACAGAGCATTACAAGTAGCCGACCGCTAATGGGCATTGCGAACCAACAATCAGTGAATACAAAGCGAACAAGCGCATCTCGTGCCAGCTGTGTTGAGGTACTAAACACAGTCCATTGGTGCCCCTACCTTGCGGTTCAAGTCTTCCTTTCCTTTTTTTCTCTTGGAGAACGACTGATCAGATATTGAAGCCATTCTGACATGCTGCGTATCCTCTAAGATGTTGGGATTAAGCTTTGCCCACCTACCCAAGCCACAGAGCTTAACTTCTCGGTGATGACTCTTTCGCCGGCGTGGAAATCCTCGTTTTCCTTGTTTTGATAGATCATGAGAAGAAATACGAGTATTGCAGAAATCAAACAATGTGCTAGGTTTCAAAATTCGTGAATGAAGCAAAATTTCAGCTACCTAAGGGTCACAACTTGGACAATTGATGAGTCTCATCGCCTTCACGTATGACATATCCCGGCATACTAAATCTAAACCTTATACACAATATTCGTACCTGGAAATCTTACCGGCAAAATACCTCCTCAAACCTTTCGGTCACATATCATGTTATGCTCATAATATCCGTACAAGGGTGTTTAGATGCAAGTATTCGTTAGTTTGATTCTTTTCCGACATTTTCGGTGGATCTCTTGTAGGAGAGAGCAGTATACATACCTCTATCACTCTCCAAGATTACCATGGATTCAGCGGAGGAAAATGCTTCATTCCCGATGGTATTGAAGACGCATTCTAGGCCCGAGACAGCTGATACATCTGGCTAGCACCGAACTTCTCACTGAGGCCGTCATGGCGGGAGCTAATACGTTGTAACGGGACTGATCTCGAATTGGGGATTTGTATAGTATATAAGCCGATACTTGCTACATATGACACTGCAGGTATTCAATAGGAGAGCACAGCACAGAGTCGGGAATGAATCATATAACTGTTACCCCAGGATAAACTAAATCAACGACCCGTTACTCTTGTTCATATTCAAGCAACCCTTGAAGAACAGCGCAGGCCAGGCCGTACAGATGGTAGGAGATTCATTCGCAAGACTTGGAACATGTGCGGTTGATTTGACATGGCAGAGCCGACCTCCGATTTCAGCATCATTAGTGAAACTTGTAGGGGGCGATAAGCATGTCAGACTTTATTAAGGGCATAATTCCTTTAAAACCTTGAAGTAACATTTTTGAACACTTAGAAATCCTAAGATGGTAGCTTGGGGCCAGTAGCGCTCTAGGATGGGCGGATGGGGGCAAGGTAACATGGGGGCTTAATTTGGGTTGAATGGCCAGGCTAAGCAAGAAAAGAAATCATGTCAGCTGCCGGTGTCGGGTGCATCAAGTTTGATAAGTCGAGGCAAGCCAAATATATAAGGTGTCGACTAGGTATTTTCGATGACTTTTCATACAAGGCTCGAGAGCGGGTATGATAATATAGGAGGCAAGAACAAACGTTTTCATACCGCCTATGAATGCGCCGCTTGGATGGTCTTTGGCGTAATGGCCCCCTTTCGATGGCGTCCTGTGTGGCAAAAGTGCCATCCTTCCACTGACGCATGCTACCCAACTTGTATGTTCATGTCCCTTGTCTACGTTGTAATTTCAATCCAAATACCCTACATTGGATGGCTCGGAATAGGCTTTGGGATTTGAGGCTTTGCGATCCAGCTGCTGAGCTGAGGTTGCTTCAAAGCCAAAGCCCCTTGCCCCTTGCAACATGATGTAGCTAAGAAAGGGGGTACTAAACGCATTGCTATCGATGCTTATCGAACCCTAAAGTGATTAAATAATAGCCTTTCTAGCCGCTCTAATATGAATTGGCTTTACCGAATCCCCCCGTCTCTGACTGTTTTGCGAAAGATATTGCTATGGATCCGAGTGTGCCAAACGATTCGTTTCCAGACCCATCCCGGTTGAATCAAGTACTAATTCATCGACAACAAAGTCTACAGGACATTGAATTTCAAAACAGCATGCATTCAACTCCTCCCAATTCCATAACAGGCGATATCGATACCATAACACCAGTGGAGCAGCAAAGGGCTTCAGAAGATTCTGAGGCGCATCGGGAGAGTGTCCCAACATGGCAGCCTTTTTGGCTCCGAAAATGCGTCCTCGTCGGGTTCTTCTGTTGGTTCCTCTGCTGCACTGTTGTGCTCCTCATCTTGCTACTCCTTTCAAAGCGCGACGGAGGAATAGGTAGAGCAAACCAAGAGCTTGGATACTTGTATCGCTTTGCTCCAACTGCAAGTACGTCTTCCTTTGCGCGATCTTGTATAGGAATGCACTGACGCAACTTCCCAAGTCTTCACTCTTGTAACTGTACTTTTATCTCGTGTTGAGCTACAAGTGTTGCGATATTACCCTTGGGCCCTTATACAGCACTCGGACAGTTGTAATCCAGAGGCATATCATTTGAACTATTCTTCTATGATAATGCCTATGGTGCTTTTCCGCTCAGTCCAACGCAAACATGTTCTGGTGGCTCTGATAACCTCATCTCTAATCATTTTGAGAATACAAACAATTCTCTCGCCTGCCCTCTTCATATGGGGGCTCCAACAACAATTGCAACCTGCCAGCGTTGAGATTTTGGACACTTTTGATACATCTGCAGCTCCTGCCAAGGAGCCTGGATCAGAATTCTTTTATAATCAGCATGCTGTCGAGCAGTTCGACATGGAGTTTCCATTTGGTATTGCCAAAAATGGTGTATATCAAACTTTCGAAATAAGGAACCAAGGGAACACTACATGTGGCACCTCTGAAAAGCCCCTCAAAGTCGATGTAAACGGGCTGTTCATGGATATTCAGTGCTCACCCATGATCGATTATAACACGACTGCGGTATATGTGCCTGATTACCATGATGCCACCACGTTCAATATCACGATAGATTTCGAATTCGAGTCTTGTGGCCCACCAGTAAGAGATTATGTAAACTATCTCTGGATGAAATACGAGGATCCCATACCTATTTGGTGGGCAAAGACATTCGAGCAACCACCATGCCGCTTACTACCCCAACAAAACAAGCAATTTGCATACTTTGGTTGCTTTTTTGAACCGGGACCCATTCAGACGAACGAAATACGTCTTCCTCCGGCAGATCTTTGCACAGCCATGATTTGCTCATCAGCCGCGGGTCTTTCCAAAGTTGAAATCGTTGATGATGGCTTCATCAAAAAATTAACAGTTCCACCCAACCAAACAGTCATCCCTGTCAAGTCTGATCTCTGGCATATCATGGGAAATTCTCTATCCGTTACAGTCGAAGACCAAACCCCAGTATACGAAACCAAGGATGGGCTTCAATATGTCAAGTTTGTCAAAAAGCTCTGGGAACGATACCATCCGAATGAAAATAAGTGGTTGTTTCAGAACGCTGTATTAGAAGAAGCACTCATGAACGCGACCAAAATGCTTGGGCCTTGGGCTGCTCATTATAATTTGCGTCGAGCAAACAAAGCCGAGACTGTCGGCTTTTTGACTACAGAGACGGAAATCTTACAAGTGAACCAAGGAATTTGCCTCGCTATAATTGTTCTATCGACGGTTTCTCTGCTTGCGATATCATCTATGATTTTTCAATTGGCCGAAATCTCAAACGTCTGGTACAGAAACCCTTCAACAATCTTGGGGTTCATGACAGTCATGAACAGTGATAAGCACGCTTTGGAGGAAAATTATTCTGAAAATCCAGATGATCTTTTCAAATGGGGCCGGTCGAACTCATCTCCCTTTATTCTTCGCCCACATCTACGTGTAATATTTATTTTATACGTCATAGGGCTCATCGTAGGTCTTCTTGTCGCGCTGAGAGTCTCACAACAGTCCGATGGGCTGGCTACGGTTAACAGTAACCAATACCTTTCATTTCTGTGGAGAGTTGTGCCTGCACTAGCAATGTTTGTGGTGGCTTCATATGCCAGCACAGTAGATTCCGAGATCAGGGACATAGCTATCTTGTCAAAGCTCTCCATGAAGAATTGCAGTGCTGTTCAATTGGATATGTCACTACACGATATGCTCGGATTTCGGGCCTTGTATCATTCAGTTCTGATGAGAGACTATGCCGTCACTATTTCTCAAATTTTGGCGGCAGTTTGTGCTCTATTGATAACGATTTCTTCTCTTCTCTTCAACATTCAGAAAGGCTCTGAAAGTATCAGCACCGAGGTTCAGTCAGAGAGCTGGTTTGGTATTCCAGCTGCCAATACGACAGATAGAAATGTTTCCCTCGATGCAGTGGCGAGTCTGGTCCTTTCACACAATCTTTCCCACTTCACCTATCCGAAGTCGACTTACGCAGATCTTTTATTTCCGACGATTCAAGAAGCCGGCTTCAACAAAACACTAGATCATGTCAATTCAGCGATGTTTGAAGTTCCAGCCGCGAAGTTGTTGCCTGTCTGCAATCCGATTCCTCTGCAAGATCTAAATATATCAATTTACGAAATACCAACTTCAAACTACCCTGAGCCAGAGGCAGAGAGTTTGTCCTTCTCCTTTCTTATCGAACGAGAATATGAATGCCCGTGGCGGACATCTCCGATTTCCTATGATGAAAATGGAATCCCGAAGTACAGAAAGCTTGAGGATTTCTTTTATGTAGGTCCAGAGGCCAAGACAGATGGTTTCTCCTACTTCGGGATGGTGATCAACACTCTAGAAAACGCAAACGCAGAGTTATGTGGCCCAAAACTGGGGCCGAACTGGAGCTTACGGTCATACCTCTGGGGGAACTTCTCTACCAAAAGTACCTCTTTCGAACATCTTTCCATCTGGACATGCAATTATACGTGGTTTGAAGTCCCAACCAACATAAACATGGTCGAGGTAGATGGGAAACTTCAGATAGACCAAAATAATCCTCCTGTCCAAGATATGGCAAATGCTCGTCCATGGAGTCCGCCATTTCCTGTTCCTGCTGTTGGAAGAGTAAGCCTGGTTCGCACGCAGGATACTGCTTTTCCGGCATTCAAAACCGATGAGACTTTTACATCCATCGAGTTTTCGCCTCATTTCAATATCATCTTAGAGCCATTTGGGCCAATAAAACAGGAAGATCTCGGAAACGAAAATCAAGTCAGTCATGTTCTTGATGCACTACATTACACTCTCGGTCTTGCTAGTGTCCAAATAGCAGGGAAGCAGAATCGATTGGCTCTTCATGAACGCTCAAAAGGAGAACCAGCTCAATCGCCAAAGCAGCGGCCAATCAAGGCAAAACTTATCAACACCAACAGGCGTCGACTGGTGCAAGACCCCATCGTTACCTATGTCTTAATTGCGATTTTGGGTTTGGCTGCTATTGTCAATATCTATGCTCTGATCTCAAGCATTTTGATCCGCCAATACGGGAGAGAACATCGCTGGTTACTTGATATGGAGCTTAGAGGGCTTGCTCCTAATGGATTTGGTAGTATTGCATTGATTCACACACTGCTTTGCTCCACAAATGCCATTCATCACCTACCAGATGGTGCGCATCTGATGCCTCCAAGTCTTCTTTACCGACATTTAGCAGACACGCGATTTCGAATGGGGTGGTTTTTTCACACAGTTGGCCGGCAAGAGAATTACACTATTGGAGTTTCGAACGATACCAATTTCCAATTTTCGACAACTAAAAAGTATAACTAGAAGAACAAGAAGCTGTCTATCATGTGAGAACTAACGTAGGAATAGCCTATTTATTATTAAGATGATTCAACATAGTAGTTGAAGAGTGCTCTATTATAACCGCATGTATGACAAGTCAGAATGGAAGACAATCACATTAAGACTACTGTACATATTTTGAGGGAGGTGAAAGAACATTGCGATGCTGTCGCCTATAGTCCCCTTTAGCAGAAGCAGCGTAGTATAATCTAGGACATCGTTAAAGCTGACTCAACATAATTGGGCACCTTGAGAATGCCAGCGCTTGTCACTCCCTCTTGGATGCAGTTGCTATACACTTTCTTCCTAACTGGCATCACGCGCACTTGTGCGTAGGACAACCGGTACTGGCCGTGTAAGCAAGTCAACATACAAGTCAAAGAAACGATCATTATCAACCCTAAAGACAACAGAAGAAGGCGAGTAGACGTCGATCTCGGGATAGGGGTTGACGTTCCACACAAGCGATTTGCCATAGGATGCGTTGAAGTCACAGTTCACATCGACGTACAAGTCTCGCACATCGAGGTCTAAACTTTGATCATATAATGAAGCCAGTGCAACAGTATCGTACACATAACTCCAACGCTCAATTCCGGCAAATAGCGTAGTGATAGGAGTTGCGGGCTCGTAGTCTGCAATTGTGTCGTACAACTCTTCTGTCATAACAACTGTGTTTGTGACATCGAGAGGCACGATCTTGCGAGTAACATTGGCCCGTAGCACAATACGGGCTGCTTCAGGGTCAAACCACCAATTAGTCTCACCGGCGCCGATGTACGCGTTTCCTGGAGCGTAGATTTGCCCGCCCATGATGACGATTTGCTTAATGAGGGGCACGATGGTGGGATCCTTGCGTATCGCGAGCGCGATATTTGTCAGCGGTCCAATGGCGAGCAGCGTAACCTCGCCTGGATAGCGGTGGACACTCTCGATAATGAAGTCGACGGCATGCTGCTTCCGCGGAACTGTGTTCTTCGCGAAGCCGTCTGGAGGTGGAACGAGCGGCTTGGGTTCCGATAGATATGCACCGATATATGCGGTCGCATTGCCAAATAGAATTTGCTCCAGCTGGAACGATGAGAAGTCATGCAGTAGTGGTGTTTCCGCGCCAACATAGACGCCAACTTGTTTCTCGAGCCCAACGCGCTCCACGGCCCTGAGACAGTCCGATACTTCTTGGTGCAGCCACTGGTTGCCCGTGACGATGGTAAGCCCCAACAAGTCTATGTCCTGGCTGGCGTGCATTTGGGCAGCCATGGCAAGGACCTGACCGTCATCCCCGATGGTATTGAAGTCTGTGTCAATAATGACTTTCACAGCTCCAGTTGTGTGGTTGTCTTTATAAGAGCAGACGAAGGGAACAAAAGGCAGGAATTGAAGCAGCTTCATGGTGGCGGCCAAGATAAAATGATACAACAATAGTTGCTGTAAGGTGATAACTCTGTAAATGTGAAAAGGATTCTGGGATGTCTAAATGGAACAATTCGCGCTCACCGTGCGGAGAACTACTCCAGTACGCGTAAATTGTCTCAGTGTTAACATGAGGTGAGCGTTTATTGGTTGGACCGGCAGTACAGTAGGATTATGGTTGGTAATCATCATCATCCGACTGAAGGACATGGGAGAGACATAACATATTATGATAAATCATTTGACCAATTCCCTCGGCCACTTATTTCTAGGTTTTATGAAGAACCTCTAGTAAGAAATATACAATGAACAAGTTGCCTACTCGAGATATCCTTTTACAGAGGAGTACAAAGCTAGGACCAAGTTAGAGTATAGAAACTGCAGAATAGGAACTCTATAGATAAGTAAGCTTACCAGACTTTATACTAGGTATTTATATTAATAATACTTACTTAATTAACTATATATAATAAATATATATCAATAGATCTCTTTCTAATCCCTACTACTCTTATCTATAAGCTTCGGAGATTCTTATTATATACTTATAGGTGAATTCCTTATATAGGGTAGATATATTACGAGTATGGGGTCAAGTGATCGGACCCTCGCTATGATTTTGGCGCTACTGCGTGACATATCCTTTCTATATTGTTGCATCCTCCAGCTCGTCCTACAACTAATTGGCACTTGCATAGTCGTACCACTCATAATCTCAAACACAGCGACCGGAGTTTGAAATTTCTGCCAATTTAGTTACGAAGTTCAACTGCCACCAAAGTGTCAACACCATAATCAGACAGCTATTTACTAGACTTAACTTCCTCTCCTGGGATTCCAAGGGCACGAGCTATCCTGGGCACGGGCTACAACAAGGGTCTTCTGCCCTGAACTGGCTGTTAATTTGAAGAGTTTGCTAGGGTCGTCTTCTGTCGAGTTTTGCTCATTTGTTGCTTTCAACGGCTGGCGAATCTTGTCCCAAATCCTGAAACCAGACGGTGTCGAAGCGACAGTGCCGGGTTCTTAACCCTTGCAAAAGTGCTCGGGGTGACGGCTCCAATAAGCACTTCGTGCCTACATGTAGCATTTGGTATGGCTAGCCTGCAGACTTGGCTTAGAACTGCTCCAATTCAGTTGCCGAAGATATCGCTGAACTTGGCGAAAATGATGTAACGGCGGCATATTCAAGGAGGTAACTAAATAATATCCAACTGACACCGTCGAACTCCCCTGACTTTTTGAATATACTTACCAAGGCCGTTGTAATAAGAGATATCTCCATAGGTACCAGCAAGAACATAATCGAAAGGCCTCCACCATCAGCTTGTCAACAGGGGTTTAGGGCCGTGCAACCTACAGCGCAGGCGCCCCAGAAGCGAAGACCGTCGAGACACAGAGTCTCGTTTTCGTAGACGACTTCCTGACTGCCATCCAAAACAACAGTATCGGAACTCTTCTTCTCAGTATCTTGAACACATTTACCCTCCGGCTCAACAATAGTGACTGGATCTCGATCTTGCCGTGAGCCGCCTTGAGCGGCTGACTGTTCGTTGATGGAATCCATCATAGGCCAAAGGTGTAATGCCTAGCCGCGGCTGAGACAACTTAGGCCACTTGGCATGGTAGAGACAGATGTGTCATCCTAGCTCAACTTACTGGTCTGGGTTCTTCTTTAAAAAGTAATGGGATCCCACACTTTCAGAGAATGCCCTTTGATTGTGGCCGGGGAATAACGGTAAGTCGAATGTGGTCAGCATCTTTTTAACGATGGCACTAACCACTCAAGGGAGGGACAACCAACGGGTAGGCACCCGCATGTTGCGTTGTAATGGGTTAATCAATCAATCAGGTGTTGACGCCTTTGGCATGGGTCCAGAAAGGTCCTTTGGTAATGGCACGGGGCCGAGTGCTCCCACATGATGTTGCATTGCTAGCATTGGAATGAATCAATCAATCTGTTCAGATGTGCACGCCTGTAACAATTTACAAAATAGGTTGTCAACTACTTTTTCGTATGTGCCTGACTCTCGAGCTTAATAGCAACCCATCTTAGATTCTACTTGTCAGTTATTCTGCGCCATCCATTCTCCAGCATACGTCGGATGGAGGCATACCAGCTCGTCATCCCCTTGTTGGCGACGCTTGCCAGAGCTTATCTGATATTGAAGGAAGACAACCGTAGGCGGCTCGCACCTCCCGCATGATACTGACGCGATTTATTCTTAGTTGCCTAACACCAAAATGGGCCGGGATTGATACATATTATGCGCGGGCGACAGGGTTTCAATCCCTTGTTGATAATGGAACTTATTCTATCAAACGGCGGCCTCAACAAAGTGACAATGCCCTTACTGTTAGTACCTTGATTTAAATCAAACCTTCCTGCCAAGCACAAGGATGAGACCCAATTGTTTGTCTGACACAATAGTACTCATACACCACCTCTTATTCGCGGCCCTGGCAAGGTCATTTTAAGCTTACGGGTAGGTTGTGGCAGTCCCTAATTCTCATTCAAATCGTCGTGTATTTTCTCGACAACTCACCACGTTAATAAGCCTCGATTCTCGCCACCTCGCCAATACCTAACCATAGCCAACAGTGTATATCTCTTTATTCACGCCAAATATGGCTTGGGCGAGTGTTGTAGGTGTATTAGGGACAAACTTTCTCTATCTGCTCCTCGCATGGGTAAGTCCAGGGCACCCGCAGTTTCTGAACGTATTTTGATTGACACGGGAACAGCTGTTCTTAGTCTTCTCGCGTCGCCTCTTTTTTCATCCATTTAAGAATACCCCAGGGCCTTTTCTTGCAAAAGTGACCAATCTATATGGCGGCATACAGGCTATCAGGAGACGCGGCCATTTGGCAAGCTACGAGAACCATGTCCAGTTCGGCCCTGTAGTACGGTATGGTCCAAATAGATTGATTTTCAATACGATCACAGCAGTTCATGGTAAATATTCGCAGGGCTCCCGCGACCTGAAACGGCCTGCTAAACACTTTTTAGACATATACGCCAACCCCTTGGTGACAAAGTCCGAAGTTTACCTCTTGACCCGAATGACCCCCTTAGGAAATGTTTTCGATACTCCTGAGGTCGACGAGCATCGTAGAAAGCGAAGGATTATCAGCCAACCCATCTCAGAGAAAGCCATGCGGGACTTTGAACCTACAATGGCAGAACAGATCGACACTTTTATTCACCAGCTGCGAAAGTCATGCCGTCTGTCGAAGCCAATCAACATGACGAAACGTCTCGAGTACCTTGGGGGCGACGTGGTGGGACATCTCGGATTTGGGTATCCTCTCAAGATGCAGACAGAGGAAACTAATCAATGGTTGATGTGGGGATTGTCTTTCGTCATTGTGCGTGTTAATATCTACATGCAGTTTCCCAAGTTGGCCTTCATTGAGCCCGCCCTGAAGAGACTGGGAAGCAAGATTCGCAATAAATACAGGAGCATTATCGGGAAGATGATAGTCAATCGCACCAGCATGCCTAAAGATGCCAAGCGAGATCTTTTTGCATATGCGGCGGACAGCATGGAAGGTGGCACAAGCCTTATGAACAGTGAGCTGTGGGCTGAAGCCTTCTTCTTCGTCATTGCTGGAGGTGCCACTTCAGCAACCGCCATGGCGGCGCTCTTCTTTTACTTGACGCGCTATCCAAGAGTGTATGAAAAGCTGAATGAAGAGATACGAACTCACTTTCACTCCGGCGAGGATATTCATTCTGGAAAGGCACTACGAGATTGTGTATACCTTCGAGCCTGCATCGATGAGGCATTGCGCATGTCACCCCCTGCTCCAGGAATGCTATGGCGCGAGAAAGTCCCACCAAACAAGCTAGCCGGCGGCATAGAAGATCCCCCTCTTGTGGTTGACAGGCATGTCATCCCCAGTGGCATTCAAGTTGCTGTCAACATATACGCTCTGCATCATAATGAGGAATACTTCGCAGACCCTTTTCAGTTCATTCCGGAAAGGTGGCTGACAGCTGAGGGGAGAGACTCTTCATCATTGATGCGGCGCGCATTTGCTCCCTTTGGGGTGGGTGGTCGATCCTGTGCTGGAAAGGCGGTGGCCTACCTCGAAATCAGCCTCACCATAGCCAAAACCTTGTATTACTTTGACCTAGAGATCGCCCCAGGACCGCAAGGCCAAATCGGAGCTGGTACTGTTGGTAGAAACGATGGCAGAGGCAGGGAAGATGAGTTTCAACTCTATGATGTGTTTACGTCTCTTCACGATGGGCCTGTATTGAAGCTTAAAGAGCGACAACAAGCGGTTGGGAAGTGAGCACTGATGATAATCGTTACCTATTCTCGGATAAGAGCTTATTAAAGTGGTTACTTATGACATATCTAAAGGATCAACACTTGCTAAGTAGTATTCAAATACAATCAATGTTTGTTATCAACTAGTCTCGCAACGGTATGACACGATTGGTGAATAATAAGTAACGGAGCCCCCTGGCAAGTTCATGTCTATTCCGAAACTAGCGATTCAGAGTCTTGACCTTCGTAGCGGTAAAACCCAAGTGCCTTGAGCATAGGATGGTCATCAAAACGATATAGGTAAGTCTTCTCATCACCAGCAAAGTGCTGATAGCGATACCATGCCGGAATACAGAATGTGTCACCGGCCTTCCAGTGTATCTTTTGATCCCCTACCTGTGAGTAGCCGCTTCCTTCGATGACATGGTAGACTGCTGATGAAGTCTCACGGATCGATGGTGACTCAGACTGAGCGTCAATACGCTCAGCGCATGCTCCAATAGTTTTACTCACTTCGGAAACATTAGTATTTATACATTCTTCGACTCCCGGATGTGTTCATCTCCCTCAGTGACTTACATTCAGCACCATTCTCTTTCAAATAGCGTGCCTTGGCCCATACCGACGTCTGGCTATCAAGCTTCTTTTGCATCTTGTCCCACGGGAAGACAATTGGCGAGTTATCAACATTCTCGGCCGGATATCGCGAAGCCGAGTAGTGTTCGTTGAAGTGGACTGGGAAGTGGATGAACTCGGGCAGGTCCAGCCCATCGAGCCAGATGACGGGAGAGTTATCACCACCCTTTTCTTCGGCCCCCTTCTTGCCGTGATCATGCCAGTTCCAGGTCGGTGTGACAAGAACATCGCGAGGTCTCATCTCGACGCGTCGACCGTGCACAGCAGTGAAACCACCTTGCCCTTCAATGATGAAGCGCACAGCAAAGGCAGAATGACGATGAGCAGGAGCCGTCTCTCGTGGCATGACCAGCTGCAGTCCAGCGTACAGCGTGTCGGTGGTATAAGGAGCAGCTATGTGCGTGTCAGTATATTATGACTATGTCTCCGCGGTTGTCTTTTGATACATACTTCTTTCAGGGTTGACTAGCATAAGAACTCGTCGCTCAGCTTGCTCTTCCTTGATGAGCTCGCCAGCGCTCACCAAGTATGGTCGAATCTTCTCATACTCCCAAATGAAGGGCTTGGTTGTTGGGTTTGGAAGCGCAGGGTTGAGTCTTGCCATCTGCGCCCATAGAGGGAGGACGTTGACATCCGTAAGAGCTTCAACCAAAGCTTCACCAGTTTCAAACTTGTGAGGGCCGTTGCCGCCCTTTGCAGCTCTATTCTCCGGAACAGAATTTCCGTTCTGGATTCTTGCGCTAATCGTCTGAGTTGCCATGATGAAGTGTTTTGCAGGAATGATAAGCTGTGAATTTGATCTTCAATGACTGGAATGATAAGCAACCTTGGAAAGGCCTTCTATTATAGATTGATTGATTAGATCTTAATCATGCAAGTCTTGCTTCTTGTTGGGATCCGGATGACTGGACTCCATGGTATTGCATCATGGTTGGCTTTCCCGGTCATGCCAAGTGACTCCCTTTCCCGCGGATCGGGTGTCTTTCCGACACATCCGCTTGTCCCCACCAAGAACCGGCAGGTCGGGGAAGGATCGGGAACCAGCCTGTCAGCTCCCGGAAAGTAAGGTACATGAGGGTTGTGGCTCGAATGGACAATTTGGTTTTGTGCCACTAGGTTTGCCTTATTAGTTTTCTTGAGTGAGATCGGTTCGTTCTCTTGCTGTGTCAGTACTATCACCACCCACACTACAAACAAGATGAAGGTTTCGTGGGATCGCGCCATCCGATTTATCGCCACTGATGGGCGAACGTTGCGAGGAGAACCAATCCTACCAACGCCTGACTTTGATCTCGGCAGGACAGATGAAAGCACCAGACTGCAGGCCAAGGTTATCGCCGGTAAAGATCTCTACGACACGTCTGGGCAGACATCTGTGACAGACGAAGTCGTGACCGTAAAGACACTTCTCGGGCCTGTAGAACCATCAGAGGTTCCAATCATCAGGTGCATTGGATTAAACTACGCCACCCACAGTAAGTTGACCTCATTCCACTACTTACGCAACTTCTGGGTTGTTTCTTGTTCGCTAGCATTCTGTTCTTACTGATGTATTCATTTGAAGTTCGTGAGACGGGAAGAAAACCACCAACATACCCGTTCATGTTCTGCAAAGGGTCCCCTGCAGTTCTAGACCATGGCGCAAACGTTGTTGTGCCAAAAGTTGCTCAGGACGACCAAGCAGACTACGAAGGCGAGCTAGTAAGTCCATGTTATGGGAACTTTTGAAACCGCCTGCTAAGATTTATACAGTGTGTGGTACTTGGAAAGCATGCCAAGGATGTCTCTGAGGCTGATGCTCTTGATTACGTTGCGGCTTACACCGTAGGTAACGATATATCTAGCCGAAAGCTGCAGCGGGACAGCACACTTGCAGGCCCTGTGCCGCAATGGGGCTTCTCAAAGGGTTTCGACACTTATGCGCCTCTTGGCCCAGTGTTGGTCAGCTCAGCTCTCATCCCAGACCCAGCTAGATTGCAGCTGAAGACGGTCGTCGACGGAGAATTACGACAGTCTTCTGGGCTCGACGACCTGCTTTTCAGTGTCCCGTACCTCATCTCTTATCTTTCCACAGGCACGACCCTCCAGAAAGGCTCCATCATTATGACTGGTACACCAGGAGGTAAGTCAAGTCCACGATGCTTATTTGCACAAGTGATTCAGACACACTAACAGAAACTGTCGCAGGAGTTGGTGCAGGGCTGAAGCCCCCACGTTATCTTGTCCCTGGGACCAAGATGGAGGTCAGTGTTAGCGAGATTGGAACACTTCGTAACGGGGTCGCGTTCGCGTGATAGCCACCTATAAGTAGTAACCGTTATCTAAGGTGCGGGGATTGCACACAACCGTATGATTTTAATTTAAGAGTCTCAACAGCTTCAGATATCATATTATCAACAATGATAGAATGGCCATAACCTCGATCTATATAAAATTAAATTCACATTTCATAACATACTCTCTTAATGTGACGCCGAACTCGTCGGGCTCAGACTCGTGGCCCATCTAATACAAATCGAGAAGACGGTTATCTCTTTGAACCAGCTGGAGCAGCAATAATGTATTACCCCGCTATTTGACGGTGAGTACTTTCTAAAAGTGAATTTTTGATGGCATTATAATTGGTGGCGAGGTTTAGTGAAGCAGGGTACGGATCAGTGGTACTTCCAACATAGTGAAATGATCTCTAGTAAATAAGTATCTCCTACCCGATGGTTTCCTAACGTTATCACACCAACCAACCCCTACAAGTTACATACTACTACTCTAGCTTCTCCCAAGAGATAAGAGATCGAAATGTGAGAGGTGCGTTGGATCAGTTATTTCTAGGGTATCAAACTAGTGGCCAAAGTGTAACTTGGGATGTCGGAATTGGCGGAACGAGATGTGCGGGGAACCGAAGTGGAGGTGAGTGTGAAGATGAAGTCCGATAGTGATCCCGAAAAGATGTAATTACAGGTTACCATTTTCTAGCATGTGGACCAGGTCAAGAGTGGCCATCCAGTCTGGGGTTAAAGAATGGTCATCAAATAATCCCCATTATTAGCCTCCCGCACTCGACAATCTTGATCGATCGGATAAATCACACTCACCACAGGCAACCGTGCATATTGACGATTTTCGAAGATGTGGAGATCTCGCAGCAGCGCAAGTCCGTCCGTTGAGAGCACACACGAGGATAATCATCAAGAAGAGAGCGGGCCAAACAATAGCAAGCGCCGGCGTATTGCCTTGGCATGCAGTGCTTGTCGCACGCGTAAATCGAGGGTGTGTCTCATGAGCAATAATGCCAGTTTCGGATTCCAAATGCTGACTGCAGATATGGATCGGAAGTGCAATGGTCAGCGCCCGAAATGCTCGCTGTGTGAGCGCATGGGCTTTGATTGTACCTATGAGATGCCCAATTCATCATCCAATCTCATTATTGGCAAAGAGTGGGTGCTCCGAGTCCAACCAGAGTTGGGTAACTCCGTCTACCTCACCTAGCATCAGTCGCTAAAGCCGTGCCAGTATCTTTGCTGCTCTTGAAGCCAGAGTAGAGGCGGTCGAGAGGCAGCTGCGAAGACAATCTAATCATACAGGCCCATCAAACAAAGATGAAGGCATCATGGCTCCTTCGTCGGTTGGTAACAGTGAGGAAAGGAATGGGGAACACACAATATCCGCGCCCCCTGGCATGATTGTTATTAGCATTCAAGACCCTCTTGAGACTGACGCCCAGTCACAGCACGACAAGACTGACGGAATGGCAATGTCTCTAGTAAAAGATGAAGACTGCAGCTTCTTTGGTGCGTTTCAGTTCTGGAGTTGGAACCTTTATCGGCACAAGCTAAGATCTACAGGACCTACGTCCAACATCGCCCTGATGCGTACTATATTCCGTGCCGTGGCATACAAGCGGGCTGCCAATATCAATAATACCATCGCAGGCTTCAGGAACCCGGCCGATGCAAATCGCTCCAGCGCCATCAATCTTGCTCGAGCATTTCCCGAGTCGCCAAATGTGTGTGGTGCGAGCGGGGATGGGTCAAGTCCGGGAGGGTGCAACATCCTACCTTCTCACGACCAAACAGAGCAGTTAGTCAACCGATACTTCTCAAATACCGGCATGTTGTTTCCGTATATCCATAAGCCTTCGTTTGTCGACACTTATAGTCACATTCGCGAGCAAAACTTTCGCGGCAACGTGCGCCGAACTTTCCTGGGACTCCTGAACATGGTGCTTGCGATGGCGGCTTGGAGTGAGAGTGGACGGCAAAGCACTGCTGAGACGACTTCGAATTTTGAATCTGCCATCTTCTACCAACGCGCCCAAGAGCTTTGCGGAAAACCAATGCAGCGCGGAACTAGCTTAGAGACCGGTAAGAAACGGGAAGCTTTTATACT